CAAGTCAGTATAATGTAATTTAAGTTGAAATGACTTAAATATCCAAGATTTCAGTCAGTATCGTTTACACATGCTGGGTTGTTTTAACCCAATTAAATATTCAGTGTACCGTAAGGCCAAATAAAAATTGGGTAAAATATTTTTTATTACATTTTTAACCCAACGTTTGTGTTTGACCGTATTTTCCCCAAAATTGGGTTAAAACAACCCAGCATTTTTTAGAGTGTCAGTGACCAGATATTGGCCAACAAGAAAAGTCTTTTCATAAGTGGAATTATATATAGTACAATAAATATTTCTCTGAACTAGTTCACAATAAGACCAAGAATGTCTATTAATAAAGTAAACAGTAGGATATCATAACGACAACAAGATGGATGACCTGGAAGATAAAGAAAGAGATACTTAACTTTTCTCTTATTGCGAACTAGAACTTTTTCACCCTTCATTGACTCCCTTTTTCATGGCATTTTCCTCCTCATGTCTCTTGCTCTCTTTCGGTCTGTAAATCTCAAGTCCACGAGCAGCTGAAGGGGAAGGAAGAAACATTCATTAATCCGCTTCATCTTTGCCAGAAGGAGATGCAGTAAATTCGGCCTCTCACACTCTCATACACTCTTAGAAGAAAAGGTTCTATGTAGAACCTTAAAAGGTTCTATCAGCGCTATGTACAGTATTTGGAACCCCTAAAAGGTTCTATACACTCTTAAAAAAGGGTTCCTCTGGGCTCTATATAGAACCCTGGGGTTCCATACTTGGCCAATAGAACCTTTACAAAAAAATGGTTCTATATATAGAACCATTTTGCAGTTCCATATATGAAGCGGGGGATGGAACCATTTCTGGTTCTAAATAGAAACATTTCTTCTAAGAGTCAGTCCCTCCAGAAAAACGCGATTATGCGATCGCTGAATTCAATGCAAAATCAGCCAAAGTCCGCATATTTATGCGGTGGCCGCATTTTTTCAAATACGCCGCACTTTCGCCCCATAAATTGCCGATTTCCGTGCAAAATATGCAGGGTTTGCATAATTTCATAATCCTCGCTGCAAAAAAAGTTTCGTTGCAAAAAAGTCACATGTATCTTAGCAGAAAGTTGAAAAATGTTGCGTTTGCTTCACACAAGAGCAGCCATTTCCCCCTGTTTCCATGGGAACGTTATGAAGTGACGCAATTACGCGACGCCAGACAGACTCACGGAGGCGATTGACATCTCACAAATCGAACTCGTATAACTGTCTGTCACACGTTCTACCGTCACATCGTTACTTAATAAACAACATAAGATAAAAGAAGTAGCATCAAACAGAAATTACCCGCACACATGGGGTTTTTGAGGCGCACATATAACACTGCAGAGAGTTCAACAGGAGCGCGCAGCTCTTAAAGGGGCCACACCTTATTTACACTCGTTATAGTCTGAAATAAAACAAGATGAGAAATTAAACATTCCCAGCACTTTCTATGATGTAGTATGCTTGCTTATCAAAGGAAGTAATAAGAAATGACTCTTACATTAGCCTAGTGAGAACAGGATGTTGGGGGAATCATTTTTTCTCTTTCTCTTTTTCATCAAACCGCAATTTTTGCAAGTTCCCTCAATTTTTGCAAATTCCTGCAATTTTATTGCATAAATATCCCGCATATTCCATTGCATTTTAAAAGAAAACGGGCCGCGTAATCAATCAATTTTTGCCCGCAACAATCACAAAAAAACTCAGCGTTTTTCTGGAAGGACTGAAAACTATTATGGTAAATATTATATATAAATGTCGCAAATTTTTTCACAAATTTTTGGAAATTACCACCACAAAATCAGTCATTTTGATCGCAAAAATCACACAAAAAAAAAAAATCGTGAAATCCTGGAGGGACTGAAGAGTGTAGCATCACCCCACACCGAGCCTCAGACAGTAGAAACATTCACAATTAACAAATCATACTCCCGCGACTGCACATTTCTCCCTCAGTTCATCAAAACGGAGTCTTTTTTTACATGCCGCTTGGACAAAAACTTTGTGAGCTGCTACTACACTGCACACATCACTCATAATAAGTGATCCATTTGGAAACTTGCACAAGCTACAAACAGCACCTGCCCTGGAGACTGACTCCAGTAGAGTTTGGTATCGACCTGCTGCAAAGCTAAGGCCCGGTTTCACAGTCAGGGCTTAGATTAAGCAAGGATAAGGCCTAATTCAATAGTTCATGTGCCTTAGAAAACACATTCCTGCTGTGCATCTAGAGACTAAACAATGGCACAAACATGAATTAAATAGCATTGTACTTTGTTTTAGTGTTTGGGTTTTCTAACAGGTTATATAATCCTGATTCATTTGTGGTGAGATTTCATCTCATCAGTCTCAAGGGTGTTAATAAATCAGCCCGATCTCATGAAAGTTCGTATCTATGGCACGAATGTCATTTCTCGTGGCATTTATACGCCAAAAACAGTTTTTGCGTGTATATGGCACGCGATTTTCGCGTACGTATGATACGCACTTTTTTGCGTATAATACGCACGAACTCCCCTCCCCCCTCCCCCCTAAACCTAACCCAGGGTTTTTTAGTGCGTACCATATACACGAAAAAAACACTTTTGGCGTATAAATGCCACGAGAAATGACACTCGTGGTATAGTTACGCATCTTCATGAGACTGTGTTGTAATAAATACACAGTATATGTTAATGGACAATATTTGAACATCCATAAGCCTAACAATTGTAATAATGCAATTTCTTTTAAGATTTAAAAAAACCAAAAAAAACAAAACAATGGAAACTGGATACTTTTAAAAGATGCCGAAGGGGAAAAATACACAGGAATTTGTGCTGTTTCAGCTCAGAAACACTTAACTGGTTTGAAATGCTGCCTAGCAGGTTTTTTTTATTTATTTAATTTCGTTTTTTTTATAAATTACACAATGCTGGCAGATGTTTCTTGTGTCGTCATGGCACACACAGTCCTAAAAGTGTTGGACTTGTGTTACGCCTGAGATATTTCATCATCATATAAACTGCTATTAATGTTCTGTGCTGGACGATCCCAAGGTATGTCCCGCCCTCCTCCACACACATCTTAGTTGGAACCAAAGACAGGGAATTCACAACAAACAATGAATTTGTTTAACTTATTTTCCCATGTTATTTGTGTTGTTTCAGCACAAACATCTCTTGACATTTCAACAAGCTTCATCCTTCAGGGAAATGAATTAACCTGAATAGAAGAAAGTAATCTTCTAACATCCCCTTTAAACAAATCCTATACTTCTTAATGGGTGAAAAACAGTAGGTGACAAAAAATTCACAGTTCTCATTAAAGAGAAAAAAGTAGTGAATGTCCGAATACTTTCGGCTTTGAAGCTGCACTCAAAGTGTCTTTTGGACCTTGAACCGTTTGGTTCCCATTGAAGTCCATTATATGGAAAAAATCCTGGATTTTAATTTCTTTACGACTGAAGAAAGAAAGACATGGACATCTTGGATGACATGGGGGTGAGTAAATTATCAGCAAAAGTTTTTTTTAACTGAAGTGAACTACTCCTTTAACTCATTCGTCACTATTGTGTGGCTTCATTTGTCATGTGTTTCTAAAATTACGGTGGTTTAATAATTGTTTCAGGGAACAAGGAGCAGACAGCTCAATTTATTCAATTGCGGTCTGAAAATGACCAGCGTAAGACAACGATCTGTTGGGGAAAATGAAAACCGGCCAATCATCCTGCACTGGACCAGGTTTTGGGCCGATTCTCAAGGATTTGGAGGATTTTCGCTGTGTAACAGGCTCCTGTTTCTGGAGCTGAAAATGTGGGAGAGGAGAAAGCAAAGGCCGTTGTTATGAAGACTAGGAAGTTCAACGAGGATTGTAGCGGGCTCTCTGGGCCGCTCTACAACCCCTGAACCAGATTCGGTTCAGTCTGCAGGGTGAAGTAGACGGGGACACCAGAACCAGATATGAGATCCAACTCGCTCTGTCTGGTCCGGACCGCACCAGGAACGCTCCGCCGTGAACTGATGACTCACCAGCTGCTATTGTCAACCAGCCAGAGCCCAAAGAAACCAGTCAACCAAAAGACTTCAAATGGGTTCGTAATAAATATAATAGCCGTTGAGGCTATAAAGAGGCCGTTGTCAACAGGCGCCTGCAGCTCATGTAAACATGCGTTTGTCAGCCATTTTGTTCTTAACAAACTTTGATTAAGAAAAGCATGCCACACTATCAGAAAAAAGGTACAAAAGCTGTCACTAGGGCTGTACCTTTTCAAAAGGTAAACTTTTGTCCATTTTAGGTGCTGATATGTACACTTTAGGCGCTAATATGTACATTAGGTGCTATTATGTACATTTTAGGTGTTAATATGTACATTTTAGGTGCTAATAAGTACATTTTAATGTGTACATTTTAGGTGCCAATGTGTACATTTTAGGTGTTATGTACATTTCAGGAGCTATTATGTCCATTTTAGGTCCTAATATGTACATTTTAGGTGCTAATATGTACATTTTAAGTGTTAATATGTACATTTTAGGTGCTAATAAGTACACTTTAGGTACTAATATGTACATTTTAGGTACAATTATGTACATTTTAGGTGTTAATATGTACATTTTAGGTGCTAATAAGTACATTTTAGGTGTTAATATGTACATTTTAGGTGCCAATATGTACATTTTAGGTGTTATGTACATTTCAGGAGCTATTATGTCCATTTTAGGTTCTAATATGTACATTTTAGGTGCTAATATGTACATTTTAAGTGTTCATATGTACATTTTAGGTGCTAATAAGTAAATTTTAGGTGTTAATGTGTACATTTTAGGTGCCAATGTGTACATTTTAGGTGTTATGTACATTTCAGGAGCTATTATGTCTATTTTAGGTCCTAATATGTACATTTTAGTTGCTAATATGTACATTTTAAGTGTTAATATGTATATTTCAGGAGCTAATGTGTCCATTTTAGTTGCTAATATGACCTAAATAGGTGTTAATATGTACATATTAGGTGCTAAAATGTACCACTAAGGTACCAATATGAAGCGTTTGGGTACAAAAGTGTACCTTTTGAAAAGGTACAGCCCCAGTGACAGCTTTTGTAACTTTTTTTTCTGAGAGTGCATTTTAAAGGTTCTCATCAGAGTTATAATCAAACTAAATTGCCCTGAAAGGACTATTACATATGATCACCAGCATGTATAGTGTGCTCACGTTGGGCATAGTTCACCCAAAAATGACAATTTCTCTCATAATTTACTCACCCTCAAGTCGTTCCTGTATGAATTTATTTGTTCTGCTGAAAAAAAGCAAGGTATTTTGAAGAATATGAGTAACCAAACAGTTGTGGGGCACCGTTGACTTCCGTTGGCGCCTGAATTTTCATATTTGGGTGAACGATCCCTTTAAAAATATTGCAAATATGAAAACATCCACAAACTGATTTGGCATGGACATTCTTTCTAAAGAGGTATTTTCAGGCCTGTGGGTAGTTACTCTTCTGTTTTACCAAATCAACGTTTTCCGGAGGATCATGTGACACTGAATCCTGGAGTAATGATGCTGAAAATTCAGCTTTGCATCATAAATGACATTTTGAAATATTTTCAAATAGATAACACTCATTGTAAATTGGAATAATATTTGACAATATTACAGTTTTTACTTTTTGATCAAACAAATGCAGCATTGGTGAGCAGAAGAGACTTCTTTCAAAAACATTATAAGATCTTATGGTCACAGTTAAAGCGGCGTACTAAACGTGACGACAGGTGAAACGAGGTTAAACGGTGTTGTTGAGCCACGTTTGACTGCCTGCTGGTGTGTATCAGAACCTCTGACACCAAAAAGCGTCTCACTATTGCCTCACCAACCAGCTGTCCCAACACATGTGATTCAATCTGTGCACATTTTGAGGAGACAGGATATGTAATGCTCTTGATTAGCCGGGCTGGAGCATCAATGAAGGCGCAGATGACCTGTAGTTGTGAGCGTGTCCTTGGGTGCCCCGTAAAAACAGACGGATGAGGCGACCTCGATTTCACTCTTTCTGCAACAGCTGTTATTTAGCCCAGACTTGTTATGCAGATCTCCTGCTCTCTTTCTCAATGTTACTGCAGGACAGTATTAGACGCAGCTGCTTCTGCGTTTGCTTCGTTCAGGTCGACTCCTGGTTCTGCTTTAATGCTGCTGGACTTTTAAACTCAACTCAGTCAGCCCTGAACACAAATGGACTTTTAATGCAACAAAGAGGCTTTTATTTTTCTTGGGCTAGCCACAAATAGCTAACAGACGGCAACACATCCCTGCTAAGAAGTCGAAAAAGATGGATGGCTTGGATTGTAGCTTTGCTTTATTTTGGCAGGCGATTATAACTGTAAAATATTGATTATCAGAGGTTATAGAGGCTTCTATATGAGGATATTTTTATTTTTATTCCCAAAGGAGAGCCGGACTTCCCTTTTAGATGATCAGCGCTGTGAGTTTTGTTAGCGTCTCTATGCCGCTACGCCAAGAAAAATGCCTGTTATGCCAAACAGAAACAGTCTTGTATCCTTTTATGACAATTCCAGTAGACAAAGATCATTTCTGCAATTATTCTTTAGGTCTGGCAGCTCAAAAACACCTGCAATATGAATATACTGTGTGTATATATATATATATATATATATACATATATCAGGTTTTTTCAGATTAGGTGTTCAGAAAAACTATACTAATAGTGATGCTTGACAATGAGAACTCAATATAAGAAGAAAGACGCATGCCTGAAACCTGGAATTATGAAAAACTAAAAATGACAAAAGGAAAAATACATAAATAAATCAATAAATAAAAGTATAAATAAATAAATATAAATATATAAATAAATAAATGCATAAATACATAAATAATTAGGTGTAAAAATACAGAAATAGCCATTTATATATATATATATATATATATAAATAAATGTATAAATACATAAATAAATACATATATAAATGCATAAATACATAAATAAATACATGTAAAAATACAGAAATAGCCATTTATATTACCAAAATGTATTTATTTTCAGTATATTTCTTTATTTATTTCTACTTTTATTTCTTTATTTATATATATATATATATATATATATATTAGGGCTGTCAAATGATTAAGCGCGATTAATCACATCCAAAATAAAAGTTTGTGTTTACATAATATATGTGGGTGCACTGAGTATAATTATTTTATATATAGAAATACACACACACATGCTTGTATATATTTAAGAAATATTTTCATGTATATAGATTCATATATAATTTATATGATATGTAAATATAAATAATATTTTTTTTAAATATACATGCATGTGTGTGTATCTATTTATATATACAAAATAATTATACACAGTGCACCCACATACTGTATATTATGGAAACACAAACTTTTATTCAGCTCATTCAACTTTAAACCTGAATAACCCCAATCTCAATGGTGGTTCAAGATCTAATTTGTGCCAGATATCAGTGGAATAAATGCTGATTGTTTGACAGCGTACATGCGGTCACATGACACACAGCAGAACCCCTCTTGCTTCATACAACAACACCCTGTTTTCTAAATCTATCAATCTCCATCTAATCATTACATAAACATCGACTGATCAACTACTTTATAGCGATCATGACATCTGAAGTGTGTTAGTGACGTGTGTTTGTTTGTTCATCAGTGTATGTGTTGGCGTTTATTTGTAACATGCTGATTAAAGACAAACCCACTTTTTGTTCAGCTCGTGGTCGTCATCCGCTCCCGTCCGCAGTTCACATCATCTCTCTCTTCACAGCCGGATGGATTTGGTGGGTTCATATTCAAAGTCTTCACGAGATGGTTGATTAGCTTCACACTGTAAACACAAAACAAGAGAACAGAACTTCTCAGAGCAAGTGGAGATGACGTTCAGCTGTGGTAATAATAACATGTCATAAACACTTAGCCATCTCTAAAACATAGAAATGGTGAAATCACTTTTGCTCTGGAGAACATCAAACTGGGAATACAACAAAGACTTTTGAGCTGGAAACGTTTTATCCACGGGACACTAATAAAAACTACACTGGTTTTAAGTTTTTGTGTATATTATATATATATATATATATATATATATATATATATACGTATATATATAAATATTCATAAATGTATAAATAAATGCATAAACACATGAATAAATATGTGTAAAAATACAGAAATAGCCATCTAAATAACCAAATATATATATATATATATATTAGGGCTGGCAAAAATTAATTGCGATTAATCGCATCCAAAATAATAGTCTGTGTTTACATAATATATTTGTGTGTGCTATATATAATCATTTTGTACATATAAATACACACATGCATGTATATATTTAAGAAAATGTATTATTCATATATAAAATATTTACATAATTTAGATTATGTATATATATATATATATATATATATATACAAAATTTAAGAGCAAATAATTCTTAAATATATACATGCATGCATATGTATTCATATATACAAAATAATTATATACAGCACACACACATATTATGTAAACACAGACTTTTATTTTGGATGCGATTAATCGCAATTAATTTTTGCACAGCCCTAATATATATATATATATATATATATATATATATATAAATTCATAAATGTATAAATACATAAATAAATACATATATAAATGTATAAATACATGTAAAAATACAGAAATAGCCATTTATATTACCAAAATATATTTATTTTCACTATATTTCTTCATTTATTTATTTATTTCCTTTTGTCATTTTTAGTCCTTCATATGGAATAGCCGAAAATGGACACTTCCAAATCGTACACAAAAAAAAAACGAAGCATTGAATGATTTACAACCCAATTTCATGATGGAACAAATAAATGGAACATTTTTAGGAGATTTTCACTGACTAATAAAACAAATTAGAGGCCTGACACAAACACTACCAAGTCTGAATTCCAAAACACAGCGTTTTTTTCCATTTATAAGTATAATGCAGCAAAGCTGTTTTGTTGCCATTGTTTTGTCTTTTGTTGCCATGTTTTTTGGTGTTGTGTAAGGTTTGCTGACAAAGGTTTATGACTATATCGATAGGGACTTGTTAAAAATGGAAAGTCTGGTACAAATCAAAAACAACTTCCTGCATCTCATTCTCTCTCTTAAATCACGAGGCAGAAAATGTCAGGTCAGTTTACCCTTTATTGAATCTTGCCGATTTTACAGGAATTTTTCCCATAATCGCTTCCCATAGAGGCTGCCAGTATACTTCATTCTCAAGAGACCATTTGAAACAAATGCCAACATGAGTGAAAAGCACTCATGATCTATCTATCTATCTATCTATCTATCTATCTATCTATCTATCTATCTATCTGTCTTTAACTGGTATGCTAAACTTAAAAAAGTTGAAAATTACTTAAATTGTAATTTATGATGCAAGCATAACCTTCTGTTTAGTGTAATCCTTTATGTGATTCAGATGTGTTCAGTCAGAGATAAATTAGGAACAGAATACATTTCTATGAAATCTCCTGTGAATCTCGATTCTCAGGCATAAACCATTTGCGTAGTGACCACAGTCTGGCCTCAGAAAATATAGAGGAACAAACGTGAGCACATAAACCAAGACAAAAAGAGACCGAAATTGCCAAATATACATTCTGAAGATCATTCTATTAATCACAAATGAGACGTTTCATTTCGCAGTTACACATTCACAGAGAAAAATTAGACTTTCGTCACAAAAAAGCATATCTCATGTGTCTCATCTAGAGTTTCAAAAGAGATCTGAACAGTCTCAAACTGTGCCAAGATCCTAAAATCTACAATCAAAAGTCAGAGACCTCAATATGAACTCTTACAATAGCAAATGACCCGCTCTCCGCATTCAGTTGTATAGCTTTATACTCTTGCTATATGCCAACAATTGTCTTTAAATGTGTTCTATGGGCGCCTTTAGGACTTTTAGTAGGAACATTTGAGTCCATTCAGTCTCAAAGAGCAACCTCCGAGCCATTAACCGTTCCTCTGGGATGTGACACAGGTATATTCAGAGCTGTAGAGACTCTATTAGACATATGGTCTTCATTGAAGTTTGACTGACTGCTCTAATACTCTTGTTCCTGGTTCTTCTTTCTGTTGTTCCTGGCCCTATTACACAACACATTTTTTTTTCCAATAAAAGTACAACTGAAAAAAGTATTTTCAACACTTTCTGGATATCATCGCCTGCACTGGCCCAGACGTCGGCCATTCACGGGTTGTGCCATGCTGACCAGCGTATTAATGAAGTTGAAGTAGCTTCATTCACAGCTGTGCCATATTTAAGCATGGCAACATTGCACATACCGGGCATTTTCTGTTCTAACCACAAGCTTGGCCTTCAAAAGCTCAGACGCACGTAAAGCACAGGCCTGAGAGCAGCTTTATCTGCCCGCATGGCTTCACTCACAGGGGAATGTCAACCTCTAAACTACGCTTCAGTCCCTGAGACGCTGAAAGGGCTCGACCGAATGCTTTTGATTTCGCTGGGGTTTTATGGCTTGTCCCGTAATTCATATGTTTCACATGTGATGCAGGATGTGTAGAGTGCTTTACCAAAGCAGATCCATGTGCAACCACGTCGCCTGTTTTCTGGTGAAACAAGAATGTGTTCTCATGGATGTTACGCTAGACGCTCAGCCTGTTTAAAGTCAAATAAGGACAGAGGTGTTATCATCTCTCCCTCCGTCCGTCCATCTGTTAATCTATCCATAATTATTTTTGTTGGTCCATCCATTTATCTATCTATCTATCTGTCAATCTGTACGTCACACATTTTTTGTCCGTCCGTCCATCCATCCATTGGTCGGTCCGTTGGTTCATTGATCCATCAGTTGGTCCATCCATTCATCCATCTGTCGATTGGTCCAACCATCCATCCATTCATTCATCAATCCATCCGTCGGTCCGTCCATTCGTCCATCCATCAATCCATCCATTTATCCATCTGTCGGTCCATCCATCCATTCATTCTTCAATCCATCGGTTGGTCCATCCATTCATCCATCTGTCGATTGGTCCACCCATCTATCCATCCATCCATCCATCCGTCGGTCCATCTGTCCACTCATCCATTCATTCATCAATCCATCCATTGGTCCACCCATTCAGCCATCTGTTGGTTGGTCAACCCATCCATCAATCCATCGGTCCGTCCATCCATCAATCAATCCATCCGTTGGTCCGCCCATTCATTCAGCCGTCGGTCCATCCATCTGTCGGTCCATCCATCCATCCGTCCGTTCGTCCATTCATCAATCCATCGGTTGGTCCATCCATTCTTCCATTTGTCGATTGGTCCACCCATCCATCCATCCATCCATTGGTCCACCCATTCATCCATCCGTCGGTCCACCCATCTGTCGGTCCATCTGTCCACCCATCCATTCATTCATCAATCCATCCATTGGTCCACCCATTCATCCATCCGTCGGTCCATCCATCCATCCATCTGTCGGTCCATCCATCCATCCGTCCGTTCGTCCATCCATCAATCTATCCGTTGGTCCATCCATTCATCCATCTGTTGGTCCATCCATCCATCTGTCCGTCTGTTATGTTTGTCATCCCCAGGAAGTCAAGAAAACATGTACATATAAATCTTATATACTGTAGGAAGGTTATAAATAGAAATGTGCAAATATTTAGATGTTTAGTTTGAACTTCTGCGGTTGACAATGAACATGAATATAAATATAAAAAAATCTTTCAATTGTTTTTTTTGAAAAACAGATATTTAAATAATATTTTAGATACATTTTTAGGGTTTAGGAAACTTATTCTGTAGCCTTTTATATGCCAGATATAAAAAAGAAAAGTATAATCCACTTCTCGGCTAAGGAAACTGAAGGACACGTGCAGCAAGCGGTGGACGGTGGGGTGTAGAGAGAAATCTTTCTCTGCTGTGAGAAAACATTAAAGGATTCACATTAATGAGTGTGTTCAACATAAGATTAAGCCTGAACAATCTCCTGCTTTGTTTAATTAAAAAAAAAGAAAAGAAAAGAAAACAGGCAAAGATTATGAGATGTTACAATTTTAAGTCCATTACCAAAGAGCCAATGGGCAAGTGACATCCAAATTAAACAATCCGGACACAGACAATGATCATTGCAGACAGTGAGAGAACAAATGGAGAGGAGAGATGGAAAGAGAAAAGAAAAGATTGAGAGATTGAGGGACACAAAACAAGATCCGTGATGCCTGCTTCCATCATTGTCTTTTAGCCGAAAAAGAGTAGCATTTATAAAGTTGAAGGGTCCAATCAAATCAAGCTAAAATAGTTAGCCGGCATAGAAGAATTCATCCAAGCTAAGAAGAATAGATTATTTTGTGTTTAATTTGGAAAGATTGCAATGATGTGCATCCCTGATATGCTTCAATACATAAGTACAATGATATCATTGTTGTTTTTATCCAGCCTTGTCAATTAGCCTACTTGAGTCATTGTTTTTCTGAAGTAAACGAACTAGAAATATGACATCTGTGTAAGCATCTCAGTTTTCTAGAACTTTCACTATCAAAGCCCTAATCAAATCCTCTCCGGGACCCAGAGAGGAAAAAATAAAACACTGTTTGCGTTTCAGTGTGCAACTCTGCAACAACTTAGTTTGCACTCTGCAGATGCTGTGAATCAAACTGGCTTGAATCTGGCGAGTCTAATAGTCTTCAAGTGTGCATGCAGAAGAGGAGAGCAAGGCAATGGAGTTAGGATTTTGACCTGGATTGACTGCATGGTACCACAACGACATAAATATTTATATATCAGAAAATACTCACACAAAAAAAGCAAATGAAAGTATGCAGCCGTTCTCCAGAGGACCCATTTACTGGAGCCGTCTGAATGTAATCCATCTGGTTCATTCGCTCTTTGGTGACAACAGGGCTGGACTGGGTTTTGTAAAACCGAGTCTGAACAGACTGGAAGGCTACTGAAATAAAATAAGCATGCTTAATATAATGAGTTTTTGAGACACATGAGTCATATTGAGCCGTCTGCAGCTGTAAACTGTATGGTCTGTTATATCCGGTCCTCTCTTGAACCCATGGAGTTATTTGGTGCACCAACGACTGGCATAACACCATGCATCTTATTCTCATCATTTTGATTGAAATAAAGCCGAAATCAAATATAAATATTGGATGAAAAACTTAGAAATGTTATTGCCTAATTGGCAACAAACTGAAATGGAGTAAAACTAAAATAAAATAAAGCTAAATGGAAAAATGTAAAACAATAAAACTGGCAAAACCACATGATAAAATGACTAAAATGTGAACTAAAGTTAAAACTGAAAATGAATAAATTCTATAACAATATTTAAATTGTAAAATAACACTGCCGGGAACAGGCATTCAAAATATTTATGTTGAAAAAGTTTTTTTTTTAATTAATTAAAAAATAACTTTTTTGTTTTTTGCAAGCAACAGATAAATGCAACATAAATATGACAAATATTACATGTATAAAAGTAGAATTTTTGCCAGTGGCATATTTGGACAATTTTCCAGCACCTACAGAGAGATTAGCCACATGACATATATAGTGATGTGAATAAGTTTGGACACCCATGCTAAAGTTGCCTAAAAAGAGGAATAAAAAATCAACTTTTGGAAATTGATCTTAATGCCTTAATAAGAAAAATGAGGAAAAGTCCAACCTTTAAGGACACCAATTTTCTTTGTGTAGGAATAATGTATCATGGGAATATCTATTTAACATAGGGGTGTCCTGACTTATGCCCCCTGTATTTTAAGGACGACATTATTCATTTCACAAAGAAAATTGGTGCACTGTAAAAAAAAATATTTTCAAGATTTGTTATCACAACATATTTTCTTTGGTCAAATCAACTTTATAATAATTTATTTAGTTGAGATAACTTATTATTTTGAGTTTCTGATGATTAAATTAATCTCCTTCATTGTATTAACTCACTTTTTCCAGTTCAATCAACTTAAAATTTTAAGACAACCCTGGTTACTTACTTTTTTAAGTTAAACCAACAATATTTTTTTACAGTGTAGTAATCACAACATTTTTTCTTTTGTCAAATCAACTTAAATAATTTATTTAGGTCAGATAACATACAATTTTGAGTTTCTGATGATTAAATCATTCTCCTTCATTGCATTAACTCATTTTTTCCAGTTCAATGAACTTAAAATTTTAAGGCAACCAACTTTTAACTTAAACCATCAATATTTTTTTACAGTGTGTAATTAAAGGTTGGATTTTTCCTCATTTTTTTAATTAAGGCATTAAGATCAATATCCAAAAGATGATTTTTTTTATTTCCTCTTTTTAGGCAACTTTAGCATGGGTGTCCAAACTTATTCACATCATTGTATATCTCAGGTGATTGGCTCAAAATCTTAAATGCCCAGAACTGATCATCCATGAGCAAACGCGACAGATTTAGATCGCTTTACCCATATAGACATCACAGATGTAGACAAAAATCATGCAAATAAACGAGTAAATCCATAAAAATACATTTAACAAACACTGTAAAAAATTTTGTTGGTTTAACTTAAAAAGTAAGTAACGTGGTTGCCTTAAAATTTTTAAGTTGATTTAACTGGAAAAAGTGAGTTAATACAATGAAGGAGATTAGTTTAATCATCAGAAACTCAAAATAATAAGTTATCTCAACTAAATAAATTATTTAAGTTGATTTGACAAAAGAAAAAAATGTTGTGATAACAAATCTTAAAAATATTTTTTTTTTACAATGTACAAGAAAAAAAGGTGCTCAAAAACATTTTGGATTAATTATGTTCTTCTAATGTAAGTTACTTTGGTTAAAAGCATCTACTAAATGCATAAATGTAAATAAGTGTCTTAAAACCACACTGTTAAAGGGATCGTCTTTGTGTTTAACAGAATAAGTAAAGATTTATAACGACACGAGGGCGAGAAATCTTCAGACAAATCTTTTGAGTAAATTGTCCCTTTAAACGTCATCCTCAGATTCCATAACAATTACACAAACCTCCAGTGACTAAGTTCTTCCTCGAGCGAGCGCAAAAGCCTGTGAACTGCACATCAGATGATCGTAAGCGATCTGAGGACATGCCGACAAAGTCAAGGACAAAACACCTGAGATGCGCGCTTAAGCCTCTACTGGTTTCTCACAGCAGAATCGAAATCGCAAAGCATCCCTGAAGGACAAAATATCAAACTAGTCTCATCAGCGAGATAGAGTTGAGTGCTGACGCACCACATGAGAGAAGCAGTGACTCATGGTGGAGCTTGTTAGTGGTTGGAGTGACTGAGCAAGACGAGACAGCTTTATGTCCTGAACATATTTTTGGTTCCCATTAGCAGAACCTCCAGCGGTCTCTCTGCGGTGTCTCTGTCTCGCTCTTTCTTTTTTTGCAGTGAAATATTCATATGGACCCTTTCCGTATCACCAGATTAGACTAGACTAATTATAAGCACAGAATTTTATTCAGCAAATTCATTCCACATCAATAATTTCTGATTCACTTTACTTCTGTAAATACGCATTTATATTTACCTTTGTTTGGCATGTTTTGTGGATGAATGGGTTTTTCGTGTGAGGGCGAAAGATGGTTCAAGTTGCTCACATGGATTCGTCACTTGGACCAACAGAAAGCTGCTTGGCTTGGAGCGGAAATTGAGTTCATCTGATCTAATTTTGAGGAGAGAAGTTGAAAAATAAGAGGGCGAAGTGACAATAAGAAGTATAAACAAATGTTTTGCAGGAAATGATGTCATAATGATGCTGATCGGCTCACTCGCAGTCACAGAGTTCCCTTGAGCTATGACATCAAAGGCAAAAAGACGGTCTGTTTCACATTTTAACAGCCTTTAAAAAATAATAAACATCTTGCGTTCAAAAAATGTAATTTAGTGCGAATGCCTAAATAATTTTGATAATTTTGATTGAAAATATGCGTTTTGTGTCCAGATGATGTAGTTTCGTTGAGAGATGTCTGACAAGAACGCAGAGAAATGGTTGCGTTGACTGGGTTGACGGCTTATATCCAGACACTAATTGAGATTGATGATATTTGGGAAGTGGTTTTGGTGTTCTTATGACTCAGTTCATGCTCCAGGGTCTTATTCCTTAAAGGGATAGTTCACTTTGAAATTAATTTTTGGTATGTTTTCGCTTACCTCAAGGCCATCCAAGATGTAGGTGTCTTTGTTTCCGCAGTAGTTTTAATTTTTATGTTTTTAGGTCAAACCATTCTTGTCTGTCTAATGGAGGTCTATGGTCACCACCCCAAAAAGTGAACTGTCCCTTTAAGATGTTTAGAGTGCCCACCTCTTTCAAATGGCATTTGACTACAGTATGAAACGTTTGTTGGCCTTGTCATGTTTTTTCATGTAAGATGTCACTGATCTGAAAATATGTGGTCTTGAGTTGCGTGTCCATCAGCAAGTGTGTTGTGCAGGGTGGGATATTGTTTGCTTCCAAGGAGGGAACTCCCATGTGACCATTATTCTCACGTTCAGGGAAGCAAATACCACATCATTTCATAACATCGCATTAAGGAGAGCGGTTCAGAGCCAGAAATCCCTGTCAGCTTTTGAAAACAACTGCAACTGAAACAAAGGACAGAGGTCCAGTTGCTTTTAATTAAGCTCTGCTAGATGTTTGAGAATGACCTGGATGTTGGGAAACATGCACTAATCGAATGTCTTTCTTCTTTTGACCAGCTGTATGAAAACGTGGCTTACATATTATTGTTCGTGCCTGTGGTTGAAATATTAAAAACAAGTCGTAACTAGTCGTACTGCCATGTTAACGTCGAAGTGACAGTATTTGCTTGATTAATATGTGTCCCTTGTCTTATTGTGAGCGATTGATCATGTTATGTAGAATTATTTGTCGCTCTGGCCTCTTAGGGACGAGCATGTGAAGAATCAGTGGTTAAGAGTTCATATTTGCAACGCCCGAACCTTGTGTTCTCATAATTTTGATGACGAATCAAATATATGAATTCAAATGTGGATTCGCAAGCCGGTTGTTCCCGAAGGAGGGCTCAGTATCCAATGTATATGGATCAGGTTCGTCCTCCTCCGAATCACAATCTGTAAGTATTATTAATAATGTTTGCTGTTATGTTTTCTGTGGCATGTACAATATAGTTATATTGTGTTGTGTACACTCCGCGTAGCTTCTAAGCGGGGTAAAGTTAGTTTTGTTTTTGATATTCACCAGACATTCATTGAAAAATGGCAATTACCTCCTAAACGACTTAGCCAAATATGTCTTCGCTCTATATAATAAGCACTGCCCCTCAAAAGCCACCGCAATGTGAGTATCGCCGGGAAAGCTTGCGCTTGACGGAGATGCGGGTAAGGGACTGTGTGGAAAGTGCACTTTTCCTGACACACGTTTGTTCAAACACTATATACAATTTTCAACACTTGACCCCCAAGGGGGTAATCCATCGACCGGAAGTTGAAGCCTCGCGGGAGCTGCCATCTTGTAGCAGAACTTCACTTGCGTTAGCATTCCCATTGACTCCCATTCATTTTGGCGTCACTTTGACAGCGAATAACTTTACATCTGAGGCGTTTGAAGACCCCATTTGTCCTTTATTTATTTCTAAAGAAACACGTCAATGTATAAATAGCTCCATTACCTTGTAGCTTATGTTATGGCCCCGTAGAAGCAGTTTTAGTGAAAGTAGGCTAACGATTGCGTCATACCCACGCGACTCTCTGTCGCACAGTAGAGAGATTACCGTATGTACAGGAGAAGAAGCTCGCGCGCAATCGGGGAAATGTGGAGGCAAATGGCAAAATGACAAAATAATTAATCAGAATACCTAGCAGAATTGTCTCCTTCTCCTAGCTCATGGACAGCTCCTATCCACACTCTCCGCCTCTGCATGTTTCGGAAGGGAATGATGATTCAGATTTCTCATGCCACGGCACTAGAAGACAGACGGGTCAAGCTCTGTTTGAGTCTACGCGTCAGGGACGAAAGTGCTAAAAAAATCGCCAAAAACGGGCTTCAATCGTCTCAATGGAGTTCCAATGAGATCGCTCTGTCCATTTCTTTTACTGTCTATGCACTTGACGAGCTATAATCCTGGTTATGGGCGCTCCGTTGCCGACAATCTCTGCCTACGGTTTACCAATAACAACTGACTGGGTCATTTGACCAATCGCCGCAGATTCGCGTCACTGCAAGGAGGTGTTTGGGAAAATGAATCGTCGTTGTTTCAATATATGTCGAATCGAATATATATATATAATCGTCGAATCGTTATAATATATGTGATATCTGTCAATATATGTGATATCTGTCATGTGAAGCATACCTGTTATATACTGTATTTTGTACTTGGATTTATTTCTCAATAAAAAAAAAATGAATCGTCGAACGAATCATTTGGGAGTCGTTGAGCAAATCGGGTAAAAATAAATGCATATTATAAGACAAATAAAGTGTTTTTTCGCTGAATTTTCATAATCACAGGCAGGAAACTTTCTTTGGGCCAACAGTGAAACGTTAACAGGCTTCAGTGGGTCTTCTGAGGACTCAAACACACAATACGCTCCTGAAATCTGTAGAAAAGCAAAGTAAACTTGTACCAAGACACACATGCGGTCTGAAAGATCAGACTGACGCGACTGAAACCGGCATCAGACACGGATACACTTGCTTTAATTCTCTGTACGGTAATATACGCATATTTGTACTGTAGACACTGTGTGACTCAATTATTCAGAGATGTAGACAGGTAAAAATGATGAAAATACTTCTACTGCTGTGTCAAGTTAGCCAGAAGAATGAGTTGCTGCTTTAATCTTCAGGCTATTTGTGAAAATGAATCTTCTTTATATTTAATTAACTGGATTTACAGTACAGCCAAAATATACTATTATTTTCTTGAGAGAAAATACAAAGAATACAGGCCAAAAGATACAAACCCTGCTGAAAGTCTGTGCTGCTCATCATGGCTAGTAAGACTAACTAGTCATGGTTAGTTATTAATCTAGCTATACCAACAAGCATTAAAGCAATTTTTAGCATTTGTAAATACGTCATTATGTACATTATACAAATGCATAGAGACTTCATATATTATTTTTGTTTTGAGTCTTTTATTTTCTAGATTTTGAATAAGTATTGTATGCATGTTTTAATATATTTATAGTATATTTAATATAATTGTTTTATCTTTTTGTTTTATTTTTTATTCTTCTTATATAAATATGAAGAGTTCAGATGCAAAAGCCTCTAAATGCCATTTGAAATTTTCTTCTAAAATGATTGTTTTTATCAAGCTTGTATATTTAAGTTCAGTAATTTCACTTAAATGGCAATGAAGATTACCTATTTATTGTCATTTAAGTGAAATTACTGAACTTAAATATACAAGCTTGATAAAAATGGTCATTTTAGAAGAAAATTACATAAAAAACATAAAAGTTTGAGTTTATATAGTATATCTTTGTGTGTGTGTATGTGCACATGTGTATGCAATATCTAAATATTTGTATGCGTGTATATAATATATATATATATATACAGTCATGCACACACACACACATTATGAACACCAGTTTATATATATATATATATATATATATATATATATATATACACACAATTGAATATTTATTTATTAAATGGCTACATAAAGTTCAAAATAAAAAGAGAAAACAACTAAAAAAGAGACATTCACACATTTTTATTAAAATTGTATTACTTATTTAAATTTAATTCCCTTTAATAAAAAGAAATAAAAAATGCAATGTCATGATGTAATAAATGACTGTGATAAAAGTGTTTTATTCATTCCTCCCCCTCAGCAAACTCACAGATATACTTACAGTATAAAAGAAAACATGCATTTGAGGCGTATATCAGTCTGCACTGGGTGTTTTCCTGCTCAACTCCCTGTATTTGATTGTAAGTATAACTGACTGCTTCAAACCTGAAATCAGGATGACTAAAGCACACAATGAGCCCTCACAACAGCTGTAAATCACAAGCCATAATCAACACTGCCGAGCGCAAACGGACACCGGCTCTCAGTCCCGATGACCCCAGCCCGGTCCGGAAGAACCACAAGGAACTACTTACTCACATCAAAGACATTCCTGCTCTGAAGGACGGGATTAAGGAAAAGTAGACTGGATCTTATTTGTGTGTCTGTTAAGGGGAACACAACTGCTCTGCAGACCAAAGGCGTATACTCACATACAGGACAGGATGGGCAGACGGAGCAGATTACATGGAGAAGAAGGGCCGGACAGCGCTTTGGGAGTCATTGGCTCTGGACTGGAAAAGCCCAGGAGAAAAAGGGGCTCATGGTTTGGATGGTTCACTGTACAACATTATGTGGGTAAACACTAAGTTGTGGCAAAAAACAACAAAAAAACATATTTCTCTTTTGATTACTATTCCATGTTAAATCAAAAAAGGTCATTAAATCGCAGAAAATTATAGCATTTCATCAAACCTTTAGAGATGCAGAAGAGCATCTCTGAACACACAACACACCAAACCTTGAAGCACAAGAGCATCTCTGAACACACAACACACCAAACCTTGAAGCAGAAGATCATCTCTGAACACACAACACACCAAACCTTGAAGCACAAGAGCATCTCTGAACACACAACACACCAAACCTTGAAGCAGAAGATCATCTCTGAACACACAACACACCAAACCTTGAAGCACAAGAGCATCTCTGAACACACAACACACCAAACCTTGAAGCAGAAGAGCATCTCTGAACACACAACACACCAAACCTTGAAGCACAAGAGCATCTCTGAACACACAACACACCAAACCTTGAAGCACAAGAGCATCTCTGAACACACAACACACCAAACCTTGAAGCACAAGAGCATCTCTGAACACACAACACACCAAACCTTGAAGCAGAAGATCATCTCTGAACACACAACACACCAAACCTTGAAGCACAAGAGCATCTCTGAACACACGACACACCAAACCTTGAAGCAGAAGATCATCTCTGAACACACAACACACCAAACCTTGAAGCAGAAGATCATCTCTGAACACACAACACACCAAACCTTGAAGCACAAGAGCATCTCTGAACACACAACACACCAACTGTGAAAAACAATTAAACTAAGGTAATTCACTAATTCATTTATCTATGTGATAATATAGAATCAAGAATTTTCTCGAAAACAAGGCCAGAAAGAGATGCTAGAAGAAAGGCAAAAATAATATTTCCATCTATTTATCACATATATGCATGCACAAACAGACTCGAAATCCTGTCTGGCATCACATTATTTGTGTTTTCATGTCTCACCATATCATTTTATTCAGCATGTGATTCAATTGGCCATATATGGAAGATATACTGTATATACACTCTAATATATATATATATATATATATATATATATGTATGTATATTTATATATATACACTCTTAGAAGAAATGGTTCTATTTAGAACCAGAAATGGTTCCATCCCCCGCTATATGGAACTCCAAAATGGTTCTATATAGAATTATTTTTTTTGGTAAAAGGTTCTATTGGCCAAGTATGGAGCAGGGTTCTATATAGAACCCAGAGGAACCCTTTTTTAAGTGTGTATAGAACCTTTTAGGGGTTCCAAATACATAGCGCTGATAGAACCTTTTAAGCTTCTATATAGAACCTTTTCTTCTAAGAGTGTACACTCTAACAGGAAGTGTTCGTGTCCTATATTTGTACTATGAAAACCCAGAATCAAATCATGTAGAAACTACACACACACACTCAAACAGGGCACTTTGCACTTACAATGCATATTAAGCCTTTTGTCTTTCTGTCAATATTCTCTAAAAAAATATTTCTCCTACATGACAAGTCTTAATCGTGGTTGACTTTGTGACGGGCCTACTATCTTCACTCACTTTTTGTCATATACACATTTTATTTGCAGTAATATTTATGTTGTGTGCTCCATCTGATCTCCATATCACATCATGAGAAGAATCTGTTTATAATTCAGCTCATATGACAGACCAAACACTCCTCACAAAATGAGTTTTTCTGTTTTATTTCCAGTCCAGCATCGGAATATTGAGGCCATAGATATTGTTTAGCATGGCTTTTTACTCGGTGGCTGTAAGAAATATGTATTTTTCCTGCCGTTTTGGCTGAAGCGCTGCTTGCACAGGCTCTGACTTGGTGGAAAATGTGCCACAAATCACAAAAAGGGCCGAATCCTTTAATTCCTGTAGCTTCTATATATCCTTAATAACTATAATCAACGTAAGAAATGGAGTAATTATGATGTATTTTAATGCAGATGAAAGTCGTCTTTATGGTCATAAGTTCCTTTAGTTGTGCGACAGTATAAAAGTAATGAGCAACTAACAGCTTCTAATTCATTTTCGGAAACGTTGCTCGCTTCATTTATCCGGAATAATGTAAGCGAGGTCATAAACACATGAAGTTATCTAAATGGACATAATAACTGCCCCTGTAATGGATTTGTTGGCTTGTGTCATACGGAAGAATAATCTCTCAGGACACAGGGTGCGTCTCAATCCTGCAAAATCCAGTGAGCATCAATGCTCACTATGGGTGCGTCTCAAACGCTCACTTCAGTACTCAGGACACTGATGAGGGGGTCGGCTATTAAGATCACTCGACACGTCACTCGACAAAGTCCGAGTTTTTTTCCACTTTTCCTTTCTCCGCCTTCCTGCGCCGCTGCCCCATCATCAGAAGCACCTGTTGGCTTGGCACTGATGTGACCCGCACTGACGTGGACGCTGGCCCTGGATGTGAGGGGAGGTATGGGCGAGTGCACAGGGTTACTGGTGCAGGGCTTTCTGAAGGTTTAGCTCTAACACAGAATGACGGAGTTCAGCCGATTAGAGCAGAGCTGATTACCTGACCCGTCCGTCAGAACACACGACTCCGCCCCCTAATGAGACACCAAACTAATGAGACATCAGAAACCTCCAGGGGGGGTGGGGGGGGGGGGGGGATTGGGAAAATCCAAATGAAAAATTTAAATTTTTTTTGAAGATTGAAAAAAATGTAAGATTTTTTTATCCGGGTTTGTAGGGCAGTACAATTGGACTATGGATTTAGTGATTATATATGAATATGACTGTATATTATGATATGATAGCAATAAGTAAATATGAATATCATTATTATTAAACGAAATAAGAGATATTACTTCTGTAATATTTAGTTGCGAAAAAAATAAAAAAAATAGTACGCCTGTATAAGAATTTTTTTTTTAACACAAGAACTGTAATATTTTAATTTGTGACGGTCTTAACTTCTTTATTTTCATTAAGCCCAATTTGGCCAATTTGTTTTTAATTATATATCAATAATAATATTACACTCTAAAAAATGCTGGGTTGTTTTAACCCAATTTTGGGTCAAATATGGACAAACCCGAAATGTTGGGTTAAAAATGTAATGTAAAAATTTAACCCAACGGCTGGGTTAGTCCATATTTGACCCAAAGTTGGGTTAAAACAACCCAGCATTTTTTAGAGTGTAATAATTGGTTCTTGTTTTAACACCATACCAACTTCTTTGGCAATTTTCATAAGTTAAAATACTATAAAAAAGCAAATAAAAAACAACAACAAAGTTTTATGCAATTTCCAAACAGAACCTTAAATAAATATGACTATTGTATTATTTACAATTTCCAAACAGAACCTTAAATAAATATGACTATTGTATTTCACTGTAAAATAAAAAATAGTATTACAATATTAATAAATATTATTAATATTTTATTTTACCAAACAACTGTTAAAAAACCCCATTCCAATACATATTTAAATTATTTTATATTTAATATTTTCTAATACTTAATTGCTATATGTTAAACCATATAAAACACAATTTGATCAAAAATGTTATTATTTAATAATAATGAAAATATTTTATTATAAATATATATATTTATAATAAATATATTTTAGAGGTTTTTTTTTTAAGGGTATTACTGAATATATATATATATATTTTACTGATTTCTTAAGTTGTCAAATTGATATATTCCATGTCACTTTTGTCTTTATTCTTCTTTATTTATGTTTATTTTATGTTTTTTGTGGTTATGTTTATTATGGTTCCCATGAGTGTAAAACAAATTCCCCTTTGGGGCAATAAAGGTTTCATTCATTCATACACTCTAAAAAATGCTGGGTTGTTTTAACCCAATTTTGGGTCAAATATGGACAAACCCGAAATGTTGGGTTAAAAATGTAATGTAAAAATTTAACCCAACGGCTGGGTTAGTCCATATTTGACCCAAAGTTGGGTTAAAACAACCCAGCATTTTTTAGAGTGTATATTAAACAAAATAAGAAATAATACTTTTTCACTTTAAAAATTAGTATAATAATAATAATTGTATATAGCTGATCAACTTTTAGACTAAACCCTTTAACACACACACAACAAAGCCTTGCAGCTTGCAGGTGGAAGTGTCAGAATTTCTCAATAAGCCTAAGAAGATATGATCCCTGAAGACAATAAAGAGCAGAGGAGGATTGTGGGAGTTTTCTGGGTTTTATAAGTGAAGTGTGGTGTGGAAGTAAGAAAGGGCACCATACCAGTCACCTCGGCCTGCGTCTCCACGTGGCAAGCTCTACAAAAAGAAAAAATAAATAATTGTCAGCCAGTTTTGTTTGTGTAAAACCTGCAAACCAACAAAAGCTTCTCAGGTGTTTTTCTGGACTTTTTGATGGTTTGGTCAGTGCAGGGAGACAAGCTAAAACCACCAGACCACTTTAGACTGGTTTAATCTGGTCTTTTCTGCCTGTGCGTGATTGTTGCAAAATTGTACAACCATCTGAGCTCAATGCACCAGTGTTTTTCGTAACTGTAACCATACGAGAAACTCACAGACTTTCCCGAAAAAGACCCTGCAGCCATGACAGTCCTCAAGGCTCAAGTAGCAGGAAACTTTCCCAACAAAACATCACTCTCTGGGCGAAGGATTCTGGCAGGTCTGCTTGGCTCCAGTCTTACCCTGAAAGTCTGCTTGCCGTTGGAGTCCGTTATGGGAAAAAGGACACACCGGAAAAACGCCAGAACCCTGTTTCATCCAGAGCTTTTACACACACAATGCAGAATTAATTTTACTGTTTTACAAAACTCGGTTTGAGAGCGGGCCGGCTACCACACACATACAACATCACATCCAGAACACAATAATAAATGTATTACAAGCAACCATAAACTACTTTTTATGAGGTGTACTTTACATAAAGTTCTTTTCGGTTCTGTTTTTACCAAGCATTACAGTAGACTGGTGCCAAAAAGACACTGCTTCCAGTATGTGTATAGTTCAAAATCGCAATGCAACATAGGGCTGGGCGATAAAACAATAACGATAATTATCGCGATATAATTTTCCTCAATAAAACGATATCAAGAGGTCGATAATTGTTCGATAATGTTTATGCGTCAAAAGCGGAACGAAACTCATTTAACCGCGCGCGCCACACGGAGCATTTATCCGCTCGGGTCAAAGTCCAAATGGCAGCGCACTGAGTGCAGCGCGAGCTCACGCAGACGCGCCTCTGATCGTTTTGCTCACGAGATCCAGTGAGAAGCACTTGAGTTCAGCGAAGAACACAAATGTCAAGTTTAAACCAGTTTAAAGGCAGATGAAACACCGCTGACAAAAAGGAGAAACTGAATTGATACTGAATCCATTTAGCTTCCCGTGGATTTACTGTAGGGTTAGCCTGGTAATATTAACTGCACCATGAAATGTGGAATATACATATTGTATAATATTATTAATGTAGACAATGTATTATGACTAATGGAATATAAGTACAGTATTTAATAATGTATTTAACTGTTAGGCTATTGTTTTTCATAGGCTACAAAAAATACAGAAACCATAAAGGCTATGCCATTATAGTGAGGAGCTAAGGCTATAACTGGTTTTATCTGTGGTTATCATGATCTAAAAATGCACGATACTGGATGACCAATGGTTAATTTGAATACAACTCAAACAGTCAGAATATTACTTTTTACCACATAAAAATATGGTTGTTGCATAGGAAAAAAAAACAACAACAAAAAAACAGATGTTACTGTTTTTGTTAATGAACATAAATTTAAAGAGTAGTTTAAAAACACAATTAACACTCTGGTTTATACAACTTTCACTTAGTTACAAAAATCTGCCTTTAAACTTAAAAAAACAAATATTTGACATATATCGTGATAATTATCGATATCGACTGATACAAAAAAAATTATCGTGATAATTTTTTTGGGCCATATCGCCCATCTTTAAAAACTGGATGCAGCCTTGAAGTGAGCTTTAGAGAGGGCAAGATTATCAGTGAATGTCAAATAACAGGGAACGTTCTTTGGATAACACACTTTCATTCGCGTGAGAAACACACCTAAAAATCACAACAACAGACCAGGTGCATTAAAATGCATTACGCTTATAACCGATCGGCGATCGTCAAAACCCCTCTTGACAGCTTATTTTGACAGAAGTGGATTCACGGGAGGATCAGAGAAGGCTGAGGTATGATTTACTGGTTCATACGGTGTGGAGCCGGAGGGGTCGCATCAGTCCACAACAACGTGAGCCCGACTCTCCGTCGGCCTCGGGACGCATTAGACTGATTAGCTCGACGGTTGATAAACTGGGCCGTGATTGAACGATAACTCGGGACGTGCGGGATGGGGCTGCTTATTCCTTGCTGGATCACTTTACATGAAACAAAAAGGTCAACACGCCTCCTCTAGATTATGCCGCCTCGTCTGTCCACACGGCAACGACCTTTACAGCCAGGTCTTATTTTCATGAATACAATAATTCGTTTCTGAGAATGCGTTACGAAGGCGAGGGCGAAGTTGCGCCAGACAACGTGTGATGTGACCGCCACAGACTGGCATACATTACTGGGAAGAACAACATATTCAGATCATAGAGGGAAAGACAGACTCTTCATTTAGCCTATGGCAAGCCGTTGTTTTACTTTTATACATTTCCAGGATATGAATTCTTGATATCAACACTTGTATTTTCACTATAGTCGCTATAGGCTGGCATTCAAAACCAATTGTTGATTTCAAGAATTGATTTCTTACTAGTTGAAATTCCAATTTCACATATCAGAAATACAATTATTACTAGTAAAAACCTTTATTTTTGATATCAAGAATTCAATTGTTATTTGAAATGTCTATTCTTGATATCCACAATTTAGCTACTAGTAATAATGTTCATTTTTGATATCAATAATTCAATCTTCACTAGTGACAATGTTAATTTCTGATATGAATGTGATCGGTACTAGTAAGAAAGCCATTTTAGATATCTGAAATAATATTGATATAAGAAATACATTTTCAGATATCAAAAATGATCATTTTTACTAGTACCAATTGAATTGTTAATATCAAGAATAGACATTTCAACTGGTGTCAATGTAATTATTGATATCAAAAATTATATTTCTACTAGTAAAAAATCAATATCAACAATTTATTTTGAATGGCAGCCTAGGGTGAAATTTAAATACAGTTACAGATATCAGCAATTAACAAATCATGAATTGAATTGTTGATATCAACAATTACATTTTTTTGATATCAAGAATTCATATCCTGGAAATGAATAAAAGCTAAAACAGCTTGCCATACTTCATTAGCCTAAGAAGGATTCTATTCAGGTGAATTAAATTAATGATTAGTCTACTTTCTTTTTGTATTAGGCTATTTTATTTGCATTATTTAGTTAATTTACTTGAACTTAAAAAATTACTTGAGTGCTGCATTTGGAATATTACTTATTTTAACAGGTTTATCGTTACTTTCAATGACTAATAGTTACTAACTTCACTGTATTATTTTGTATATACTTCACTGTATTATTATTATTAGTTTGTTTTATTTTACTTTTTTTAATAATTTTTTTTTTTACACCATAGATATTTCCCCTTTTCTGTTCCATTATTTATGTATTAATTACTGTACTTGTTTGCTGCATTTGGACTATTGGTCATTTTAACATATCCCTGGTCTTTAATGATTATTTTCTTGGTGCGTTAGGTTATTTTATCTTGTATTATTTTGTTTGTTTTCATGCATTTGTACTGTTGTTATTTTACTGTATTTTCTAATTGTACACTTACACACATTCTTTCTTATTTCTCATTTATTTTTCAATATATTTACTTTTTAATGATACTGTATTCAGACTATTGCTTATAGTATATTTCATTTTATTCTGCACCCATGCAGCCTGTCTCTCATTGTCAAGACTTTGACAATACAAATGTCATTTTTTTAATGTTTTCTTGTCAACTGCATTTGAAACTAAGATTACAGAGATAAAGAAAAGGAGGAAAGAGAGTGAGAGACTGGATAAATAGAGTGTCTCTCGTCCACACTGGCGTGTTTCAGCCTGTGTCTGAGGGTGTGTCCTTTTCCGAGTTCATTTAAGGACTCGAGTGCTTTTGCTGCATGTGTTCAACAGCAGTTGCACCCTTATTCTGATCCATGTTCAGCACAATCACTTCCTTACACACACTAATGTGCTTTTACAACCGCTAAAAACCTCTGGAAAAAAAGAGCCCTCGTTCCAGCTGAAATAACAATGAGCTGGAAGCAACAACGTCTTTGCCCAATCAGATCGGGATAATGCATGCATCACTATATTAGATTATTTTCATCTACACATGCATATAAATATATAATAATGCAGAAAAACAGTTTTCTGGTGGCTAGAAACGTATCCGGTGTCTATAGCTCTACATCACCAGACTGTTCTCTTCTCTCTCACAATGAATCTCATTATCGCTCTGTCTGTTTCTTTCCTTCCCTCGTGCCGTCCAGGGGTTCTTTCAGTCCCCACGTGTCAGACCAGCAGCCGTTGAATAAAAGCTGGAGGAGGACACAAACAGAGCCGCTTCTTTAATGGAGCGCACATACTAAACACATCGACATGGCTTTCGGGAGACTCGTCATCACCTCTGCACGGCCCTCTCTTCTCCATCTCACTTAAAAACAACACGCACTCCCACGGGCTGAAATGCGAGACTCCTTCGGTTTGTTTGGATGATCTCGGGTAAGCTTTATAAAATGGAGAGTGAAAAGCCCTAAGCGACACAAAATGAAATCAGTTTGTGAATGAGAACCAGACAGCAGACAAACGGACTCGCATTCACATCCATGTCTGGATGAACTTACAAAATGTGAACTTTTCGCATGTAACAGTGTCTTCAAAATAACCCGCGGATGAACATTTCTGTGTGCATGTGGAGGAAATTTGCTTCATGTTTCCATGACTTATTGAGATAATTATCAGGATACTGAACTTTTTAAACAATTGTTTAAAAAGGGTCAAACATTTGGAATAATTAAGTGAGCATTTATATGATCAAAATACAGCAAAAACAGTAATATTATTACAATTTAAAATAAAAAATAACTGTTTTCTTTTTGGATATATTTTAAAATTGTATTTATTCCTGTGATCAAAGCTGAATTTTCAGCTTCATTACTCCAGTCTTCAGTGTAAAATGATCCTTCAGAAATCACTCTATGATTTGGTGACCGAGAAACAGTTCTGTTGAAATGTAACTTTACATGTAACAGGATTTGTGTTGTTTGTGTCCTTCCATAGCTGTGCATGAATTTATGATACGGAAAGCATTTCTGTCCTGATGTAAGTGAGCAACAGATGACTCAGAAAACACAGAATGTCTCCTGGAAATGCTCAAGCAAATCTCAACAGACACATGAAACAGCTTTGACTTTAACTACAACAACAAGCGAATGAATCAAGAAAGAAAGAAAGATATTTGATGTATTTGAAAGTCTCTTATTCTCACCAAGGCTGCATTTATATGCTCAGAAATACAGTAAAAACAGTAATAAAGCTAAAATATTATTACAATTTAAAATAACCAAAAAATGCGATCAAAGCTGAATTTTCAGCATCATTACTCCAGCGACTCCAGGGATAAATGACTCTTGTGCCCGACGCAAGTTTAGAAGGGGTTGGTCTGAAATAGCTTCATTATTCATAGGTGTGGTTTGGGCGTAACGTATAGACTGTAAAAAATATGGACAAAGCGTCTGTGACGTCACCCATAGACTCTCTGAAGAACGGGTTTGAAGCTGTTTATGGGGGGTATGGGCGGCGCCATACTGGAAAAAGTTTCAGAAAGGATGTAATGAAGTGTTGTGTCAGATCATGGCCGAGACGTCAAATTCACTCGGCGCAGCCCGTTATCAGCTGTCAATCAAAGTTAACCGCCCTTATTTGTCATATGTTTTATATCTAAATATGATCTAAACTTACGAGTTAGAAAAAAATTCACCCCCCTCACATTTGTCAGGCACGCGGAACATATTGAAGATTACAATAAAAGTCCATGGGACCAAATTGTAAACATATGAATTTATGCTGTGAAAACGGACATTATAACATGACGTCTGTGGATATTTGCTCCCTTTTGGGACCGCCCTCTAGCGGATTTGAGATGTATTGCAGCTTATCGCACTTCCGGGTAGGCTTCATCTTTCAGATTAGAATGTTGCTGCTTGGCGTAACGTGAAATAAACCAATCAGAGCGTCATCCAACATATTCTTTAAGAGCAGGTGCGCATGTTGCATGGCGGATTGTTATAATTATGGCCAATTTACCAGGTGATTTTGCAGTCTTTTTTGTTTTTTTTTATATTTATGTGGAGTGTGCTGGAGGCAGGAGGTTTTTTGGTGTTATCAGACTCATGTCGAGACTCATGTCTCTCATAAAGGAGAGGGGCTCGGGAGCGCACATGCACGTCACATCCGATGGATTTCACAGAAAATCCGACCCGGAGACTTCACATAGAAATAGGAATACTGGCCTTCAGAGGTTGTGGCAAAACCCGGCGAGTGGATAATTGTAATGTGTGATTACAACCCCTTCACACACAGCCAATAAAAAAAAAAAAGATTCATTTCATTTTAGAAGAAAAGTTACACATAGCACCTTTAAAAGTACATTTTTACTTAAAAAATGTAATGCATACTTAATATATCAAAGGCCTTTCAAACTACCCCAAACTTTTGTACTATAAACTGTAATGTACAAAAAGAAAAACGCAAGTAAGTGAGGAAGAATTGTGTTGTGAAAGAAAGAAGGGATGCATCTATGCAGGAAAGAAAGCAAACCTGTAGTGTGTGTTGTGTTGTCCAGTCCAGTTGTTCAGCGGTCAGTGACACAGGTGAGATGATGTGAACTCTCTTACACTGCACATCTGCTCCAGCTGTGAGTGATCCCGCTGTTAACTGAACACCTGTGAGTCACAGAAACACACGGAGTCATGCGATTAGCCCTAAACGCTCATCTGAGACCTCAACTAACTTTAGTCAACATCTCTTTCTTGAGCCATTATGTGAACAAACAGTAAAAAAATAGGACTATTAATGCAAAACATGCATTTAAAATTAAACATGCAAGATGATGAGGTCATGAGCCTATACTAAAACATTTGTTTTGTTTGTTATTGTTGTTGCTAAAACCACAAACCAGCCTTCAGCTCGTCTCCCAGCCTAAAACCAGACCAGCTAATACCATACCAATCACATATATTCATACAAATTCATTATTCAGCTCATTAGGTTGTGTAAAAACACATGATTTTTAGACTATCATGTGGTTAAAACTTAGATGATATTAAAATATGATCAGAAAAAGTTACTAAATTCATTGAACTATACATTGAACTTACAAGAATAACAATAAGAAAGTTAAAAAAGAAGTTTTCTACGGTTTGCTGCCACCTTGTGTCTACATTGTGTCCTCACATTGGGATTAAATATTTTCAGCAACAGGTAACTCCTCAGTATTTATGGATTTGGGAATTTCTTAAAATATGTCAGGGCCATTAATTATTTTCTAATGCACGTTTATAAAAGCTACTTAAACGCCCTAATTGAACTAAGCTCTAATCCTTGTTTAATATGTGAAACCGGCCTTAATATAATTACTATGGCCTAACATATGTAATTTATTATAATAGGCTAATTATTAGAAATGAAATAATTAAACCAATGTTTTTTTTTTTTAATTTAATACAAATTTATCCTGTCAGTGGAAAATGATCGCTAAAACACATTATACAGTAGGTATAACAACACTAGTTGTAAAAATCACTACATAAATGCCAATGTGATGTAGAATTGGAATTATAATTATTAGCTATGAAATCATTAAATATGAAAACAAATGTATTTATAGAAATAGAGTACAAAGTAATGATCAAGCCGTAGCAGTAGTAGCCTAGTTAAACCATAAACTGTATGTTTATAAACAAAAAATAAACTATAGGCCAGCAAACACGTTCCCCTAACGTTCCCGAATGGTCACATGAGGTTTTTTTTTTTTTATTTATTTATTTATTTATTTTTTATTTATTTTTGTTATATTATTTTTATTTATTATTGCCAAGCAAGAAAGTTATAGGAACGTTCCATGTAGGTTATTTTTAGGTTCCATTTTTATAACGTAAGGAGAATGTTCCGGGAACGTTAAAACCTAATGGGAAAGTTCTAGGAACGTTCTGGGAACCAAAAACTAACGTTCCCAGAACCTAGATTTGTTTGCTGTATTCGAAATATGTTCGCTTAGACCCCAATAGATAATATTTAAGTTAAGACAAGCGCTGCTGATGCATAGATTAACCTCCCCCAGATAAGACAAAGCTTTGACGCCTAAACAAAGGAGTTATCCGAGCGCACCGGCATGAGCCCCACATGGCGCGACTGCGCATGCTCAATGCCGGACAGACCGGTGTCCAGTCAGTGTCTGCTCACATTGATCAGATGCGTTTGCCTCATATGCTCCGGTCCCGTTAGTTACATTCTGTTTGCCTTCGCGTTATTATTGCCAAATCTGCGGGGTTGATGTGTTTAAACGCACACTGTAGATTTAAATCCAGACATTTATTCACTCTCATATTCCACCTGCACTGCACCTGATGTCGGCATAGGCACGCGCTCGCAAGGTAAGACTGTGTGTGGCAAAGTGCATTTTCTGCATCCGCTCAGGATTTATAGATCTACGTTCTTGTCTTGGTGGAAATGTGCATGCAGTTAAATGCAAATGCGTTCACTGCAAAATGTCAGATCTAGTTAAATCGCTTTAATGGAGATTAGTCATGTTCCCCATATACTGGCGTCATTCAATGGCTCGTTCAAAGCTTGATATCACAGACGAACGTTTAAAAGTTACACAAATAGCTTTTTATTGTCTAGTTCTTGAGAATCTTGCACTAAATGAAACCCTCATCTTAACATTTACCCTACATGTAGTTAATTCAGAAATGCACTCATAATACCTTAAAATAAAGGTTTATTTAACAGTGCTCTTGTTACAGGTGTTGCATGCAAGTTAGTAATAGCTATAAATTATGCATAATTACATGCGACTATAACCATAAACCAAACCCTCATCCTAATCCATATAGTAGCCATACATGTAATTATCATTACTCTCTGTACTTAAATGTAGCCTAATTAAACAGTAATGCGCACACGTTGTATAGGCTAATCATTGTTACCTGTAGTCATTTCTGCCTGAGCTGAACTCATAAATCGACTTTAATTGGTGTAGCTTAACCTAATGAGCTAAACAATAAGCTAAACCTTATTGACAAATAACTACTAAATCTGACTTTGCCTAAATTAAGGTACTTTTTGGATATTTGACATTACATTTGTACAGGGTGAATCTAACTCCCCAAAACACTGAGGGACGTTTATTTTATTCAGTGGATTTGCTCATATCAGTTATAGTTATCAGACTGTTGGCTATATAGTTGACTGCTGCAACTTCTTTCGTTTCTGTTAAAGTTTTAGACCTCTATCGGATGTTTTTGAAGCATCTGCTGGTGATAATAACCTTCATAGTCATCATCCATTTGAGAGCTGCGGCCTCAGATGTGGGTCGCTGGGCATTTGTACACTTTAAGCTCGTAGATCAAAAGGAATTAAAGCCTGACTGACAAATGCTCGTGAAACCTGCTGACACACGCGCACGGAGGCTTTTGTCTTCACCGGGGACGGGCGGGAACTTTGCACTGTCCGGTGACATGTTTATCTTAACAGAGCTTCGTCTCTTCCGTTTTAGGGCTGGTTCGCATTTTGCTTTGAAAACCGTGAAAAGCGGGAAGTGGAAAAAAGGGGGAAAAGGTCTCGAGACGTGTCTTAACTTACTTTATTGAGCGCGAGACGAAGACTAATATTATATTGATCGTTTTCGGTGTGGACTGCTGTTATGAGCTCGGGCATTTAAAGTTAAAATAGTTTTAGTTATCATCTAATGGTGTGTACAAAAAACATTTCCACTTTTGAATTTTTTGGGCGGGTATTAGCACTATAGAGGGGCATGTTAATAGTCAATTTTTGGTCAACTGTAAAAGTAGATTTCAAAAATTCAAAACAGCAAAAAATCAAACCAACTTTTTGGCAAACAGAAATTAGGCTACAATTAATAAATTGTATAAAAGGACAACATAAAACAACTTGCCTCAATATAAATGTGACGGCCTGAACCAACCTGAACTTGGTCTGTGAACAAGTTCAACCTTCAGTTAAAATCTGCCCTCATCAACTCTTCTGAATGCATGCTGATGTGATTTTATGTTAATAATGTTTACTTAACGGTAGTCTGGAAGATATAATCACAAACAATATCCTAATTTAAGAGTTAAACTAAACCATGATGTAAAACCACTGACATAACACGCATTTGTGTAACGTTTGCCTCTTTAACTGAGATAAAGCCCTTGTGACAACTATCCCCGGTCTTTGATATAATGAAAATGAATTTGTGAAACATGTTCATGACTCTGCTATTACACCTGTGTGAATGTTTTATACATTCACTAAAATAAAAATAGTCAAAACACCGACTGATTCGAAGGCATTGAGCAAAAATTATGAACAAAAGTGGAGAGAAAAGATTCTGCAGCATTTCAGGAACACTTGCTTTGATATTTTCCATCAAATCCAATGACATTCAGACATTTGAAGTATGACTTGAGTCTCATGTTTTGGGAACACCATACTGTACCTATATATGACTATATGACTATGACTATATAAGACTATGTGACTATATTCGTATGCAAAATCAAAGTGTTACCTGATATACTGTAACCACAATTATTCTCTAAACAAAAAAGTCTCACTGCTTTCCTGGGAAATGTTGCTTTCGTGTTATATTTTATTTGGGAGCAGTACTGTATAAAGCTGTCCTGTTTTCCCTCAGTTTGTCTTTGTGGAAAACGATAGGGCTGCTAAATAATGCACGGGAGACGGGCGGATTATGTAACAGCACTGGTGAACTGTGACCCAAATGAACTCCGCTTACCTGGCACTCAGGTGTGGAATATGATTTAGTTGTGACTCGATGATTTAAAGACAGCCTTGAAAAAACAGTGACGCCCACTTCTCTGTAATACACACCAGTCACTTTATGTCTTTCAATCTGGAAAACAAAAATCCATAAATACAAAACACAAACACGTATTTTTATAATTTAGCATGGGTTGCTAAATTAAGCTAAAACCATTCCTAAAACCCTTTCCTAAAACGCATTATAAAACTATTTTTAATGCAATAATTATGACCACATTTATAAGTTATAATATGTCACACCATTAGAAAGTAAATGCATTCAGATGTCACATATTATAACGCCTTTTAATTTTGCTTAAAATGATTTATGAAAAGATATAATACGTGCATTATGCAATGTCTTCAAGTAAAGGGTGACCAAAACACATTTTGTTGCTTGAAATAAAATAATCTATAAAAAAAAACTTGAACTTATTTTATGTCAGATTGTTGCCAGCGCAATATTCCTCTTTTTTTATTTATTTTAACTTGATGTACTGAAAAAAAGACAAATATACAAAATTAAACTGGAACAAGGAAAATCTAAAATATAACACTGACTATTACCCATCATGTGATCAAGCAATCAAAATCCAACATTTCGTCTTGTGAAATGATCTTTGTACGACTCGCTGTCCTGAAGGAATTCATTTGATATTGTGCAAGGAAAATCACTTTAAAACTGCTTCTGTTCCTTTACAGGATAATCATCTTAGAACTAGAGCCATGGAGACGGTCATTCACTTCATGAATGACTCGGTAGAGTTTTATAAATGGAGCCTTACCATAGCAGGTGAGAATATTCGGAAACATATGTTCCTATATGGCAATATATAATTATCTTTTCAAACGGAATGTGTTTTATGTGCTTAAATCTCAGACAAGCGTGTGGAGAAATGGCCGATGATGTCATCGCCGCTCCCCACCCTGGGGATCAGCGTCCTCTACCTGCTGTTCCTGTGGGCCGGACCCCTTTACATGCAGAACCGCGAGCCTTTTCAGCTCAGAAAAACACTCATCGTGTACAACTTCAGCATGGTGCTGCTTAACTTCTACATCTGCAAAGAGGTCTGTCAGCTCCTTCATGTCAATCCATTTGAATAATCAGGCACAGTTGCATGGACGTATCATCATGACAGTATGTTTCAAATGGTAATGATATCCTAAACAGTGGTACTGCAATATGTACCATATTAAGAAGTCTGCATTGTGCATTAAAGGAGTTCACTTTAAAAACAAACTTTTGCTGATAATTTACTCACCCCCATGTCATCCAAGATGGACATGTCATTCTTTCTTCAGTCGAAAAGAAATTAAGAAATTCCAGGATTTTCTCCATATAATGGACTTCATTGGGAACCAAACGGTTCAAGGTCCAAATGAGAGTTTGAGTGCAGGTTCAAAGGGCTTTAAACGACACCAGACGATGAATAAGGGCCAAGCCATCGCTCATTTCAAAAACAAAGTTTAAGTTTTATAAGCACAAATGCTCGCCTTGCTCTGTTCTGTGATGAGCGTTCGTGACTCGTTCATCAAAATGAACAAATCTTTTTTCGAGTCATGACTCGAAGGGTCCTATAAGACCCTTATTCATCGCCTGGTGTCGTTTAAAGCCCTTTGAAGCTGCACTGAAACTCTCATTTGGACCTTGAACCATTTGGTTCCCATTGAAGTCCATTATATGGAGAAAATCCTGGAATGTTTTCATCAAAAACCTTAATTTCTTTTCGACTGAAGAAAGAAATACATGGATATCTTGGATGACACGGGGGTGAGTAAATTATCAGCAAAAGTTTTTTTTTAAAGTGAACTACTCTTTTAACTTCACAAAATCACAGCATTTTGTTTCTTGCAAATTCTTTTGCAAAATATTTATTTGCATTCTGTGGTTCTTGCAAAAATAAGCAGCATTGCACAGAAATTGGATACGCAAAATGCTTTTCACATGCATTCTGAGTGGAAGGCAACTTCTATACTGTGACAAAAAAAAATATATTTTCTTCATCAAAAGATACTTAAACATCCTTGAAACAAGAGTGAATTACATTGCATTTATTTATTTTTTTGGCAATAATTGCTTTATGGATACACCTTACTACATTTATGTTGAAGGAAATTGATTTTGCATGAAAAGTGAAGAATTGCACACATATATAATATAAACAGATATAAAATAGATTTACAGTAGTGGCCTAAAGTAATGTCCGGAGGGGATATTTGTTAATTAATGACCCTAGACCCGGCCTATAAGTTTGATTAAACCATCAAAATTTGAGGAATATATTTAATATTGTTTTTAATATTTTAAATATGAGGGAAGAATAAGACACTAAACTTGGTTGAGGTACTTATCGGACAAAATGATTTGGCGAACTAAGAAAACTACAACATAATCAGTTATTATTGACTACAACATAATAGGTTATTAATTTCCTCACGTTTTTGCATGTGTTCACAATTTCTTTGAATGACAACCTGGCCAAAAATGATGTTTCATTGCATTTCAAATGATGTTTCATTGCATTATAATCACACACACATACGCTTGCATATTGTTGCTCTACAGTTGGTGCGATTGCTTCTATCGCTCTCCTCATTTGAATAAAAGTGTCTGCTAAATGATTCAATGTGCATGCAAAACAATTGACTCAAAGCACAACTACGCAATATGCTGACTCAATCTTTAACAGATTTTAAATAATATTTGAATAAAGGTTGAAGATGTCAAATTTCAAAGGCCAGACATCACTTTTGTCCACCACTGTATATAAAAAACAATAAAAAAAATTAATAAAATCATTATATTAAAAAATATATAAAATCATTATATTAAAAATATATAAAATCATTATATTATATATATTTTTAATATAATGATTTTATATATTTTTTATATAGTTTTTACATACAGTGGTGGACAAAAGTGATGTCCAACATTGTATATAAAAACAATATAAAAAATATATAAAATCATTATATTAAAAATATATAAAATCATTACATTACATTATATTATATTATATGTATTTTCACTGTGTGAAAAAACAGGATTTCAGCCCAACAATAGTGCAATAGTGTACAGACAGACCACAGACGGGTCAGACGGTTTGGCACTAGATCACTGGCTCAAAAATAAATTGTGTCATATTTGACTTCTCACACAGAGTTGCTTGTTTCGTAAGTATTCTGCAACAAACATAAAATAAGCAATGAAAGGACACAGAAACGCACAGTCTGCATTTGACAAAAAGCTAAAGGAATAAAACTGTGGCAAATCAACCAGTCCATCGCATACAGACTTCACCTTTGACCTTTGCTTGAGCACATATTAATAATAATGAATAATGTTTTTCTCTCTAGCTGCTCTTGGGCTCCAGAGCGGCCGGATACAGCTACCTCTGCCAGCCCGTCAACTACTCCAATGATGTTAATGAAGTCAGGGTGAGAAATACACAGTCATGCCTTACTAAATGCACACACACCATACACTCCTGTTGTTTATATATATAATGACTATACAGACTAACCCAATTGAATCGATTGAAGCCAACATCTTGTAGACCGTTAGCACTCAGAGGGTATTTTACAGCTGTAAGAAAAGGGTAGAAAGTTAAGGAGAGGCTTAACTGTAATGAGGAGGAGGGAATGCAGAATCCCAGGACAGCAGTTTCACTGACGTCGCTCAGAGTTTCCTCATGCTGTTATCCTGGCATCCATCATCACCCTCATTGGCACGCTTGGTTTCCCTGATGATATGAGGACAGAGACGAGGTCAGGAGTTTCTCCACCTGTAGGACACTCCTCCATTTCCAGGGCTCGTGATAACAGTGTGCCTAAAGAGCACATTCATTCAAATGAGTCATTTTATACCTTTATCTAAAGTCACTTTAACACACCCATAAGGCAAACACGTGCGCTGGAGTACGCTTGGGTTATGTGACTTGATCAAAATGATGGTTGTGGTAGTTCTGGATCACCCCTTGTGTTTACACCTACACACATTTGTTTGCCATAGATATGGATGGATGGATGGATGGAGTGGAGATAGATGGATGGATGGATAATTGGATGGATGGATGGATAGATAGATAGATAGATAGATAGATAGACAGACAGACAGACAGACAGACGGACGGACGGACGGACGGACGGACGGACGGACGGACGGACGGACGGACGGACGGATCAAAATGGTTGTGTTGACAGACAGACAGATAGATAGATGGATGGATGGATGGATGGATGGATGGATGGATGGATGGATGGATGGATGGATGGATGGATGGATGGATGGATGATTGGATGGATGGATAGATAGATATAGAGATGGATGGATGGACGGATGGATGGATATAGATAGATAGATAGATAGATAGATAGATAGATAGATAGATAGATAGATAGATAGATAGATAGATAGATAGATAGATAGATAGAAAGAAAGATGGATGGAGTGGAGATAGATGGATGGAGATAGATGGATGGATGGATGGATAATTGGATGGATGGATAGATAGATATAGAGATGGATGAATGGATGGAGGGATGGACGGACGGACGGATGGATGGATGGATATAGATAGATAGAAGATAGATAGATGGATGGATGGATGGATGGATGGATGGGCGGATGGATATAAGATAGATAGATAGATAGATAGATAGATAGATAGATAGATAGATAGATAGATAGATAGATAGATAGATAGATAGATAGATAGATAGATAGATGGATGGATGGATGGATGGATGGATGGATGGATGGAGTGGAGAGGAGATAGTTGGATGGATGGATAATTGGATAGATAGATAGATAGATAGATAGATAGATAGATAGATAGATAGATAGATAGATAGATAGATAGATAGATAGATAGATAGATGGATGGATGGATGGATGGATGGATGGATGGATGGATGGATGGATGGATGGATGGATGGACGGGCGGATGGATATAAGATAGATAGATAGATAGATAGATAGATAGATAGATAGATAGATAGATAGATAGATAGATAGATAGATAGATAGATAGATAGATAGATAGAAAGATGGATGGATGGATGGATGGATGGATGGATGGATGGATGGATGGATGGATGGAGTGGAGATAGATGGATGGATGGATGGATGATTGGATGGATGGATAGATAGATATAGAGATGGATGGATGGACGGACGGATGGATATAGATAGATAGATAGATAGATAGATAGATAGATAGATAGATAGATAGATAGATAGATAGATAGATAGATAGATAGATAGATAGATAGATAGATAGAAAGATGGATGGGTGGATGGATGGAGTGGAGATAGATGGATGGAGATAGATGGATGGATGGATGGATAATTGGATGGATGGATGGATAGATATAGAGATGGATGAATGGATGGAGGGATGGACGGACGGACGGATGGATGGATGGATATAGATAGAAGATGGATGGATGGATGGATGGATGGATGGATGGATGGATGGATGGACGGGCGGATGGATATAAGATAGATAGATAGATAGATAGATAGATAGATAGATAGATAGATAGATAGATAGATAGATAGATGGATGGATGGATGGATGGATGGATGGATGGATGGATGGATGGATGGATGGATGGATGGATGGATGGATGGATATAGATGGATGGATGGATGGAGACAGACAGATGGATATAGATGTTTATTACTGGATGACAGATATCTAGTGAGACTCAGACTCGTGGTGTTCCTGCAGATAGCGTCGGCTCTGTGGTGGTACTACATCTCGAAGGGAGTGGAGTTTCTGGACACAGTGTTCTTCATCATGAGGAAGAAGTTTAACCAAGTCAGCTTCCTGCACGTCTATCACCACTGCACAATGTTCATCCTGTGGTGGATCGGCATCAAGTGGGTCCCTGGCGGACAGTGTGAGTATTCATTATTCATAGATCTAAATGTACCTAAATAACTAAATCGCTTCTATTGTTGTTAAATTAGGCCAATTGTGATTATTATAGTCTTAGCTGGGCCAATATTAAGCCTAAACCTAAAATAAAGCCAAGATACGTTGTATAATTGAACAAAGGTTTGATAGTCTCTTTATAAAGCATTTGTCATTGGTGATTTTGGACAATTGTTTTTCTGTTTTTCTAACTTTTGAGGACACAAACATTTTGTGACTAAATGTGGTGATATACACAAACACACGGCACACACACACTCTCCTCTCTCGTACATCTCTCTTTGTGAAGACATTCATTCAACTAATCACATTCACACCCATCACAACTAAGAGCCGAACCCGAACACTTACCCTAAACCTACCCGTGAACTAATTATAATAACCTAAAAACCAAGGCTTAGCCCTCAAACACGCCTTTAAAAGGATCTCAGAAATTGAGGACTTGCCCAAATGTCCTCACTTTCAATTATAGGTCAATGAAAAGATGAAAACTAGCCTTTTGGCTAACTCTGGCATATTTTGACTTGTCATGTTAATATGCACTGTCCTTGTAATAAATAAATAAATACTAAAATAATGGTAAAACTAATTTAATGATACATATTCTTCGTAATTCTTTTAAGATGTGTCTAGCCTTGCAGAAAAGTGTGCTAAATTTGTATTAAATGTACATGTGTAGTGTACTTCAAATCTTAAAAGTATATATATATATATATATATATATATACTGTATATATATAATAACAGAAAATTTATATTTTGCAGAAAATATAATATTAATTCTAAAGGCCACTTAAGTGTACTTAAAAAGATGACTATGTTTCTATTAATCGTGATTAATCGCATCCAAAATAAAAGTTTTTGTTTACATTATATATATATATATATATATATATATATATATATATATATATATATGTGTGTGTGTGTGTGTGTGTGTGTGTACTGTGTATAATTATTTTATTATTTTGTATATAAAAATTCACACACATGAATACTGGTATATATATATATATATATATATATATATATTTAAGAAAAATGTGTTATTAATATATACAATTAATTAATATATTATAATAAAATGTATATAAATTATGTATAAATAAATATATATACATTATATTATATACATGCAAATATTTCTTAAATGTAAACATGCATGTGTGTGTATTTATATATAAAAAATAATTATACATACTACACACACATTTATTATGTAAACAAACTTTTATTTTGGATACGATTAATCGCGATATATTTGTTCACAAGTATACATATATTTGTGAACATTTATTTGATTATACTATATATATATAGCAAGTACTTACTTTCCTCAAATTGTTGTTAATGGTGAGAGAACATAAACATATATAAATGTTGCTTGCTTGTAAAAATAAGTTGTACACCAGAAAGGTGGATCATCTGAAATAATGAAGGTTGATTTGCATGCAAACCATTTACAGAAAATTCTTGTCTTTTTATGTGCTTTTTGGGGCGTGACCGAGAGGAAGGAAGAGGGGATTTGAGGAAAGGAGAGGAAAGGTTAGGAGAGCTTAGGAGGTGTGGAAGGAGTACAGATGGTCAGAGGATGATAAGGAGGAACAAAGGATAATGATCTGAGAACTGTTTAGATGATTGGATGTTGTAATCTTGTGTCTCAACAAATGCTGGTGACATTTCCCAGAATTTTTGATATTCAGCGCTTGATGTTAACTTAAGCAATATAAAAGTATGTGGCTCCTCATGCATCTTGAAGCAATTTACCGCATTTATGAAACTCGGATTTCTGTGGCTCACATGAATCAATTAATATTTTGTTTGTGATCATTGTCCCAAAAAACACACCATGACCTTAGAGTATCATAATATGTTTTGATGTTATAAATTACCTTTCTTCTTCTCAGCTTTCTTTGGAGCTACAATTAACGCTGGCATTCACGTGCTGATGTACGGCTACTACGGCTTGGCGGCGTTCGGCCCAAAGATCCAGAAGTACCTGTGGTGGAAGAAATACCTCACTATTATTCAGATGGTAAATAAACGCTCCACATCCCTCTTAGCTTCTCAAACTGCAAAGTAGGCTACAATCATTTGATTGGCTGAAATACAACTGTGCATGGACTAATTTGTCCTGCTATTAGTTTTCACAGCTCAAGACACAAAATTCGAATGCTTAAATTTCAAATCTATTTTGGTAAATAAGCTGAATTGAGCTGGATTTTAAAGTCCCCCTGTAGTCAATAATTGTATCCCTTAAAACTCATCTTTAATCACCAAAATGACAAGTTATTTCCTTAGTCTTAACATAGCTTAAGGCCAGATTCACATATAGCGCAACATGACATCATGACTTTTGCGTAAACATACACGCCACTTTCGAGTCAAGTCTCGAGTATCTCTATGCATTTTGAGCTATCCACGTGTATCCATGTATTTCTACGCCATTAACGTCCGAGTGATTCCGCGTGTCTGTACACGTCGTGAAATGTCCACGCGAAACGAAGCAAAATGTAGATCTACATCTGGGGAGCGATCTTTTTCTTTCCTAGGATGGTAAGGGAACAGTCATAAATGCCGTTAACCCCAGTGACGGTTAGGTTTAGGGACGGGGTTGAGGCAAGTCATATATTTATATATACAGTAATAACGTTAAGTCAACGGCGTTCATAAACACGCTGAAAAGCGATTATGCGTCTTGATAGCACGCCAAAAATGGAAATACGAATTGGCGTGTCATACACACGCTACTTCATGAGATCAGTCTGTATAGCGCCTAAAAACGCGTAGAAAACGCTGGGCGCGCAGCATTCTCCTTTTTCCAAAGCGCTAGGGCGGTTGCGCTCCGGTTTGTTCTTGTGACGTGACCTACTGGACTCGTTTGGAAAAAACGAGCGCGTCGCACCGCGACCGCGTCGCTTCCATTATGATCGCGCATAACACGCGCCTAACGAACTGGAGCGTGCAAAAGACGCGATACGTGAACAGGCCCTAAATGTAACTCTACACCCTTGCTGGCTCATTTAGAATATGAATTCTATGCAAATGAGCCCCGCCTCCACTCACTCACTCAGCTCAACTCAGAGATCTACTCGTTGACGATCACACGTTGATCTGATTGGTTACAAGGTAGTGTGTGACGTCAGAAAAACCAGCGATTTCAAACTGTGTTTTAGAGACATTGTACATGGGTCGTCTTAAAGCATATTAAAAACACCACATAGACATGTAAACAACTTATTTTTCACCACAGGGGGGCTTTAAAAATGCATCGTTACTTGAAAATTTCAATGTTTTGATTGCACAATTTAATCAGTTTTACAAAAACGGTTAGTTTAATCCTTGATTCTGATTGGTCATGATAAAACACGGCTATGACCGCTTCAGCCGGCAACGGTTCTATATTTCACTGCGCAATACTGCAGTTCCTGTGTTGTGTTTATTTGAGAATCAATCAATGCAGATCTTTACGAATTACTTATCTAAATATTACTTATATAGATATCTAAACATGTTTAGTGAAAGGTAAAACTTTCGAAATCTCCGCGTAAACAATGCGTGACGTACATACGTACGCGATCACTTCCGGCGTCACGTTGAGACGGTTCAGTTCAGTTGGACATCAGATTCAGATCATTTCTGTACCTCATTAGTACATGTCTTAACTCATCATTAGTTCATAGTAATTATTAATTCGGGTATTAGTACATTCCCAGACAGCAAACTGACATTGAATCAACGTGGAAACGACGTCTCTCATGACATTGAAACAACGTTGATTTTCAGACGCGGCATTCTTCAAAGCTAAATGAAAATCGAAAATTGGTTTGCTTTCATAACGTTGAAACAACGCGTTGATTTCAAGTTGATTTTCCGTTAGTTTTGAAAGAATGACGCGTCTGACGTTGGTTCAACGTTAATTCGATGAGCAAAACAATGTTAGATCAACGTTGTTTCGATGTCATATTTCCACGTTGATTCAATGTCAGTTTGCTGTCTGGGTTATTATTCACGTACTATTATTGTAAATTGTTACCCAGATTTCTGTTACACACCCGCTTGCTGTGTTTTTAGATCCAGTTCCACGTGACCATTGGCCATGCCACGCACTCTCTCTACACGGACTGCCCGTTCCCGGCCTGGATGCAGTGGGCTCTGATCGGTTACGCCGTCACGTTCATCATTCTGTTCGCCAACTTCTACTACCAGACCTACCGCCGCCAGCCACGGCTCAAGTCAGCCAAATCTGCCGTTAACGGCGTCTCCACGGCGACCAATGGCACCAGCAAGGCACCGGAGATCACGGAAAACGGAAAGAAACAAAAGAAAAGAAAAGGAAAACATGACTGAAAAGAAACACGGAAACAGGGTTCAAAAATGCCCATGTAACCTCAACCATTACAGACTGTTTGGTAATTGTACAAACGAAATTGGTCTTTGTTTTGGTTAGCTTGCTCATTGTGTTTCAAACTATAGGGACAACGCAACCAATTCTGTGTGACGTCACTTTCATCTCCAGACTACTTGTGAAAATGTTATAATCTCAAAATGCCGCATCTGAACGGCAAACTACTTCATTTATCACCACAGAATGACAGATACATATGCTTTTTCACTGAAACAGAAACTGAGCTAATTCTCATAAAGTTTTTATCTCATATATGTATATAGGCAGCTGATGAAAGATTCTTACATAAATGGCTCGTCTGGATGCTTCACATGTCCTTCCTCTGGTCTCGGTTGTCTTCACACTCTTGAATCCTGAAACAAGTGATGTGGAGTCATTAAAGGCCCAAGAATTAATCATAACACATGCAAATAATCACGCAAATCTTTCATAGCTATAATTATTGTCTGTTTGAATCTTAAATTGTGGTGAGACAGTGGTGTTTAAGGACGCGATTTTTAAAGGGGCAATACAATTCAACCAAAGAAAATCACTGTATATTTTCCATTAGATACGTTTCATTTCATTTTCCTGTACTAAACGAATTCCTGAGAATGCATGCAGTAATGATGCTATCATGGCTTTATACTCGGGTAGTTTTACATGTTTTTGTTCACATGTAAATTTAGACACACAAACACACACACACACTTGTGTCCTTAATATCTATTGCTTTGTGCGTGTAGCTTTTATGAAGCTTTTGCAAGTCATATTGCATTACAGCTACACTAATTCAGCTTTTTGTTCCCTTTTATAAACAAAATTCCCAGCAAAAAATATTTATAAACAAAAATCCTTAGGATAGACAGCTCTTAGAACGTGCTATTTATGCGGTATATTTTCTGTATGAATGAAGCTCACACAGGCTGTTTGTGATCTGCACATTGTGATTTTGTTAGCAAGACATTCCTCTCCGAAAATCTAGTCCTAACCCTACGCATAACTTCCCTAAAATCAGAGGGAAATGATAGGTGGATAACACTGATGTAGAAGCCTAAACTTCCCCTTCAAATCTGATTGATTGATTGAAATGTTGTTCAGAGACAGTTGATCCAGGATAGTGTTGAACTTGGTGAAATCACGTTCATCTTCAATGTTCCTCTTATAATAAAAAAATATAACAATTGATACAAAACTGAATGAAATAAACAGGATGTCAACCTCATTTTCTGTCTTGTCTCACTCTCTCTCTCTCTCTCTCATGTAAATATGTTGGCCAACTCAATTACTTACAAATTACTTGTCTTTTGCAAATAAAAGCATTACTATTTTTAGTTCAAACCTCAGTTTTAAGCATTAAGGTTCATTTACACCAAGGGTGATAATAACTATAACGAGATCTATAAAGTTTTAAGGGCTACAATAAAGATATATAAACGAGCTATTAACTATTAACGACACAGAGGAACGTTGCATGGAGTCATTGTGAAAATGATAAAACACTGCAGCACACGATTATAATAAACAGAACATTATCATACTCACTTAATAATGTTGGGTTAAAAATAAGCCAACTATGGGCTGGTATATTACCTTCCCAAGTGTGGGTAATTTTAAACCAATGCATTGGGTTAAAAGTAACTCAAGAGTTAAGTTAACTATTTATCATTTATAATATACTTTGTTTTCAAATTCAGATTGATTGATTTGTTATTTCTATAAAACAATAAATATCTCTCAACAAGTAAACTGCCTATTTAAATTTTCATTCTCGTGTTAAGCAGCACAGATTTGAGCTTCAGAAAGAACCAAATTGATCGCGTCTCTTCAGAAAATTTGGACTAAACCATTTATAATTCATGGATTAGTTTTGCGACCTCTTGATGAACTTATTGAAGCATCAATTCAAATTGGCAGTTGTGTAGCTGTTAATAGAGGGACAGAATGCACTCAGATTTGTTAAAAAGATCTCCATGTGTTACGAAGATGAACAAAAGTCTTATGGTTTCGGCACGAGGGTGTGTCATTTTTAGGTAAACTATCCCTTTAGATGAGAACTCCGGCGCAAAATGAACCTTTGGTCTAATAAAACATCGGCACCTAGTCAATCGTTCTCTGAGATTTGTTTTCATGATAATCAAATGTAAAGAGTTTTATCTCTAAAAACTGTTTAGCGTATAACGCTAGGAATGGGGGCATTAATGTTAACTAAGTAAAAAGAAATCGCTAGTTAATACGACTAACAAGGTTCAAAATACCCCCACACTAACACAGAAACATAATAACGGTCCATACATGCAAAACGAAGCATTGAGAACTTTGTAAGTGTACAGACCGTTTAATAAGTAGATACGTTATAAAGACAGTTCATTTCGTGTATACAGACAGGAGCCATCTTAGAAAATAGTCTCGACTAGTCAAACCACGAACGTCATGCTGAGTCATAGACATATACACTAGACGTCACCTTGGGGTTCTAAGCATGCGTCAAAACTGCCGCCATTTTGGAACAGGGGTCTTATCATAGGAAGTAGCTAGGTAACGCTGCTATCTCTGCTTTTACTTCGAATTCATTGATGGTGGCGGACTTTTATGCAGCGTATGATGTTCACGGATGAAATCTGAACTAGGAAGAATGTTTTTTTTTTTTAAATAAAAAAAAATTTCTTTCTGTAATCAATGATAAATACATGTCTGACCGTTGGAACAAACCAAAAAAAAAACAAGAAAAATCGCATTCATGATGATTTATAGTGATTTTATTTCCGTTAGACCTGTGTCTACTACATTGACGCAGATGCATTAAAGTGGAGGGGCTCCCCTGTTTCAAGATGGCGGCTCTATTGACGCATTCGTTCCAATGAACTGCCGTAGCCAAGGTGAGGTCTAGTGTATATATCTACGATGCTGAGTGAGCTGAACTGTATGAAGTTCAGTGAACTTCTGAACTGGTATGAACCCGTTTGAACGGCGTTCGGGGATCGACTTATCGAGACTATTTTCTAAGATGGCTCCTGTGTACACAAAGTGAACTGTCTTTATAAAATATCTTCTTATTAAACGGTCTGTACACTTACAAAGTTCGTTTTGCATGTATGGACACTCATTATGTTACTGTGTTAGTGTGGGGCTGTTAGTGGTGTTACCTAGCGATTTCTTTTTACTTAGTAAATGCCCCCAGTACTAGCATTATACGCTAAACAGTTTTTAGAGATAAAACTCTTTACTTTCGATTATCATGAAAACAAATCAGAGAACGATTAACTAGGTACCGATGTTTTATTAGACCAAATTTCTATAGATCCTCATAGAAACTGGCCTTTAAATTTAACAATTTTGCTATGAACTTAAAAGACACATGAAATCTTGCAGTGTGTTAGAAGAGATGTGATGTTCCCTTTTCCAAACGATTAGAAAGAAAATTCTAATAACTTTTAATTGGAGGACAGGATGACAGGTCTTGCTCGAGTCACATTCATCTTAGTTGTTCACAGACACACTGCCTCCGTCTCTCTCCTTCCTGGACTTCTAATTAAGTGTCCTTTCGGCTGTAATGGAACTCCCGGGCCAGAGCTTTGAGGGGTTGGGCAGACAGATCTGGTCTAATCAGGCCGTAAATTGGCTTTCACTGTAAAAGAGCTTATGTCCACGTCAGAGCTTGTAGCGTTATTCAGGTCACTGCAGGAGAAACATACACTGGTATCAAACTAAAACTATTAAACAGACCGGATGGATGCAATAAATATGACATTTAGACATGACAATAGCAATATTTTACAAGCATATATCCACCTGAAAGCTAAAAAATGTTCTAGTGAGCCAGATAAGAAAATAAATGTCAATTATGCAGGAAAAAAATAAGCAAATACTATTTAATCTTAGAAAATGTATTCTCTTAATGACTTTTTCAATGAAAAAAAAAGCTTTTTACTCCCTAAAATTTCTCATTTGTATTTCACAAGTGACCTTATTAATCTTATTGTAACTTTTTGTCATCTTATGCGATTTAATATTTATTTAAAAAAACAGAATCCATAAAAATGAAAAATATAAATGGCCACAGCTATCTGTCTATTCCCGAAACTTTAATACTTGAGTGCAAAATACATTGAAACATTTCGATTTTTAATCCAGATACTGTATTATTTTGATATAGTAGCCATGACCCAAACACAAACATAATTTGTACTTTTTACACATTTTACTCAACAAGTTAACTGTACTAGTTCATCTAATAGTTCAGAGAAAAGGCCTTTGTTTAACTCATACTAGCATCTTTGCATTTGTATTTTCCAAACCCATTCTTACAATCTCTCTCTCTCTCTCTCTGAACAAGGATGTTTGTCAGTAAGCGGATTGCAAATAGGCCAGAGATTTCCATTGGCCCTATTAACAGAAAGTGGTTTCACCTTTCTCTCAACCTGTTCCACTCATAATATACATTACCTGAGATAATTGGCTCCTCTTAGTGTCTGTCTACACAAAAATCCACTGATCATGGACTATACACATAACGCAAGTGCAACACTATAACATTTCCAAATGGTACACTACACATATTCTTGTACTATTCTTTTGAGTTCATTGTAGGCTACTGTCTGTGAGACCTACGCACAATTCAATTGCGAGCATAAGGATGGATCGATATTGTAATTCAAAACTGAATTTCAAACAGCAGCGACCACAAAATATGTAATAAGTTATGCTACTGCTATTGTTCATAACTTATTTCCAGTCAAGTACACAGATAGACAGACGGCGCTCTCTAGTGTTCACGGGTGGTATTACAAACTGATATCACAATGCAAATCACTTGAGGTTCACTTGTGACTCACTGACATTTAAACAGTGCAGTTAAGAGCATTTCATTAAAAGTGATAGTAAAAGTGTGTGTGAGAGAGATTTATTTCAATCTCAGACCAAGTCTATAGATTAACCAAGACAATGGGCACTGAGAAATTGTGAAAACAGAAAAAAACAAACATTTTTAACAGCACAGTATGCTCTAAATATTTGATGTGTATTCGCTGCTGAGGTGCATTGCATATTTTCTGTTGTAGTTCGACTACTGGACTGACAGTGGCACAAACTGCAGACTGACCTTTTGAATCTATTCTTGCATAGTGTCGGTGGGATGACGCTGCATTTATCTGTAAAGCAGCAAACTCCAGCAGCATCAGTCTTCCTCATCTGTGGGTTTTAAAGAGACAGCAGCACAACCGTAAACATCGTGTTAGATGAAGATCATGCTGCATATGTTGGCCTTTATAAGCCTATTATAAACAGTCAATATCCTAATATGCATGCTAATAAATAACTAGCATAAAGTGAAACCAAAACCAAAGTGTTACCGTGTTTATATAGGCCAATATTTATATTAATAAGCATTTTGAGAAAAGGTTCTTCTCACACTTCCTTAAGTGACGTCATCACCTCATGAATATTAAACGTCAGTGTCTCGCGAGCCTAAGCAGTGCCTGGCACCCTCGAGCTGAAGGGGAACTGTCCCACTCACACGGGAAACAAATGAGCACAGTTCATAAACAGGTAAGAAACCATCGCGATATTTAATGTTCTTGAAGAATAAGTCAAATTACGACTGCGCCACCAAATATGTCACCATTAGAGTAGCCTATAGGCTATGTTTATTTGGACAAGCTGTAAACTTGCACAGTCGAGAAACATGTTAGGCTGTGCTGTAGGAAAGGAAGATGTCAAAAAACTTTACTGTCATATATAGCTACATATGCCATAGTGTTTAAATAATAATGTTCACAGAACTCACCTTAGTCGATATGTAAATGACATTTTGTCAAACCAACCCTACTGTTGGTTACATTTCTTTACAATTTTAAAGTTAAACCCAACCAACTATTGTTTTGTTGTTGTTATTTACCCACATATCGGTTGAAACACAACACAGCATTTTTTTTAGTGTAGAAAATTGCTGTTCTAATTCAATTATATTGCCTTTTTACGTTTAGTATTATATTTATTAATTAAATTAGGCTATATAAATATGTAGTTGTATTACGCACTAACAAAGTTTCATATTTCGTTTTTTTTCCCCTCTTAAATGTCATAAAATTAATAAAAGTGTTGTTGGAGGTCTGCGATATGAAATGATGAGCTCTGCCGCAAGTGGCGCTGCGGATTTTCCACCACCATCAGTGGACAGTACCGAAGGGAGGAGGAGACCGTCTCCCACTCCCGGACAAAACCCCG